GTAGGTGGCTGGAGTCCTGTATGCCTCATATATCTGAGTATCTTTACCATTTGCTAAATTAGGGAAATTCTCTTGGATTATTTCTGTGAATAGCTTTTGTAGTCCATTTGTTTGTGTCCCCACTTCTTCTCTTATGTTCTTAATTCTTAAGTTATAGATCCTCTTACCATCTTCTAGTTTTTGTATTGTTGCTGTTTGTTTTTTTGTTATTTTTAAGAATTTTTTCATTTCATGCTCCCATATTACAAATCTGCCCTCCAGTTCAGATAATCTGTCCTTAGTTTCTTTCAAGCTGTTATGCCAGTTTTCGATAGAGTTTTTAGTTTCCTGGTAATCTCTTTGAACCTGTTTTACATATTCTATGTTTTCTCTATCTTCTCTATCAAGTAATTCTCCCCTTTTTTTCTGTTCTTCCATTCCACCATCTATTTTTTCTTGGGCAATGCTTAGCATTTCTCTAACTATTCTGCTTATGTCTTGTTTCAGGTCATTAATAACTTCATTCCTGAACTCGTCTATGAGGCTCTGGAGATATCGCTTTATGTCTATTGGTGCCGTGTCTGATGTTGCATGTTTCTCAGGATTGGGGGCCAAGGACCCTTTCTTGTTGCTCCCTCTTCCTATATTCTTTGTTCCTTATATTTAAGCATTTATAGGAGGCCCAGCTTCCTTCCCTGTCAGCCAGTCTGTTTGAATTGCGCCGGCCAGGTGTTCCCGCCCACCGCAATGCACCAGGGAGACACAGAGCTGGGCAGTCTATGCCGGGCCGCCCCTGCAGGTCAACCTACTGAAGGCTTCACTGCTAGGGTGCACCTCCAGGTGCTGGGACCTAGTTGGGCTAGCCTATTGGGTCTCAGCTAGCGGCGTCTCGTAGGCCAGGCACTCCCTACTAATCCCGCTTGAGAGGGGGATATGTGACTGAAGTCACTGCAGCATCTCGTTCCGGGAAGTCTGCCCGGTCCGAGTATGTCCTCCACTGAAGCCTCCTTCTCTATGGAAGGGTCCCAATTCGCTCACTCACCGAAGGTTGATGCAGGGCACCCAGCCAGTCCTGCTCCCAACTCCTTCCAATGCTTCCCACTCTCCGAGCCTTTGTGCCTCTCTCCCCGCTGTGCCGACTGGGATGCAACAGCGGCTGCAGGTGATTAAAATCGCAGTTTCCAATAGCGTGGGTCCGGCTTCCATTCTAAGACCTTATCTGTTCTTGCTGTATCACCAGAATTGTGTTTCCAGGTTCTCTTAATTTAGTTTGTTCCTGGGTCAGCAAAGAATATCCCCCCTTGCCTAGGACTTCCTGCCCGGCCCCATTCCTAGATTTCAAGTGCAGTTTTTCAGAGAGCCTCCGAGGCTGCTGCTATCTATCTGCCATGTTCTTCTGGACTCCCCAACCTTAATTTTTTTGAAGAACCTCCAAACTTTCCCATAGTGAGTGAACAGCTTCACAGTTCCACCAAGGAATGCACAAGGATTCCAGTTTCTCTGTATCCTTGCAAACACTTCCCTGCTTTTTAAAGTGTGATATGGCATTTTATTGTGGTTTTGATTTGCAATTCCATGATGATTAGTGATGTACATTTTTTCATGAGCTCCTTAGCCATTTGCATATCATCTTTGGAGACATGTTACTCCAGTTCTTTGCCTGTTTTTTTTCTTTTTTTATTTTTATCAGTATCAGGGATCAAAGTCACAACCATCCATTTGCAAGGCAGGCACTTATGCCGCTGAGCTAAATCCCCAGCCCCCATCTTTGCCTGTTTTTTAATTCAGTTGATTCTGTGTTGAGTTACAGATCTCCTCTCCTGTATTCTAGATATTTACTACTTATCAAATAATAAATGATTTGCAAGGGGCTGGGGATTTAGTTCAGCGACGTTAAGTACCTGCCTGGCAAGTGTAAGGTCGTGAGTTCGATACCCGGTACTTAAAAAAAAAAAAGGATTTGCGAATATATCCTCCCATCTGCGGTTTGCCATTTCCCTCTGTGAATTGTGCCTTCAGATGCACATACAGGTTAGGTTTTGTGTACTTCTGCTTTGTTGCCTGTGGTTTTTGAGGTCATATCTAGAAATAACTACAAAGTCCCATTTAATCATGTATTTAGGACTCATGTTAAGTCTTTAACGCTTTTCTGATGCTGTTGTTGTTGCAACAGGGCCCAGACTGGCTGTAACTCCCAACCCTCTGGCTTCTGCCTCCCGAGTGCTGGCATTCCAGGCGTGCGACACAGTGCTCAGTGTTTTTGATCCATTTTGAGTCAGTTTTTGTATATGATTCATTCATTTTTTAATGGTGAACAGAAATTTAGGGGTTTAATGATATGTTTTGTTTTAGGGCTAGTTCCTGGCGTTTCTTACCTAATCAACCTTTGTCCACTCAGGACACAAAGAGACTCTTCTCTGTCTTCTTTTGGAACCCCGATAGCCTTAGGATTATCCATATGGGCTTGTGACCCACCCCAAGTTCACATCTGTGATTGGCGAGGGGAGGGTCAGAGTTTATTTTTCCCTGTGTGAACATCTTGCTGTTCTCGCACCATTTACTGGAAGATTTCCTGTCCCTGCTGATGGTGTGGTGGATACTATGGTGTTCTTTGGTTCCCCTCAGCAGTGACGGGTGTCCCCTTGCTGCCACGGTGCTGTCTGTGAGCTTTTCTAGCTGCAAAGACAGTGCCTCACCTGAGACCACCCTGTGCTTCTGAGGAAGCTTGTCCGCTGACCGACCCATCTGGATCAGTTGCCACACTGTTGCTGTGTTGTGGTGTCACTGGGTTGGGTCCAAGGATGTCCCTGAGGCTGGAACCCAGCCTACCCTTCTGTAGAAGTTTGCAAGTTCACTGACTTGAGAGTGGCTAAAGCTGGAAATTGATCACACATGGAGGGGGGGCAATACCAGTTCAAAAACAAAGAGAGCTTGTGGTGGGCCTTGTAAACCAGCTGCTCCAGTCCAAGGTTGACACCAATTTGCAAAATGTATAAATAAACTGGCTGCAGTGTTGAGTGGTTCCTTTCCTCTCAGCTGGAGACAGGACTCACCTGCCCTCAGCTTTCTGTGTACGCCCTTTTGTCTTTATTTCTCCTTGCTCTCGATGTCCTTCCCCCGGGAACTTTGAGGGCTGCACTGGACTTGGCACCTGATTCCTACTGAGGAAAAAGAGCCTTCAGACATCAGTAAGATGTGCAGGAAGATTTTATCAGTCAGAGATTTTCCACTTGCAGATAAATGGGACCCTGGAAAGTTGGGTCGGGGGTTCTAGGCTTCTGTGGAAGGGGTAGGAGGCCCAGGAGCAGGCGCCAGCCCTGAGGGTGCCGGCCCAGGCTCCGGGTGTGGGTGGCTTTTTGGGGCACAGGTGGCTCAAGCATTCTCTGCATCGCCCAACCTGCCGTCTCAGGAGCATCCTGAATCCGTGAGGCCCACCCCAGGAATCTGGGGCCCAGATGTAACCACGGGACGCTGGTGCAGATGGCCTGGGGAACTCCCCTGGGTCCTGGCTGTCCCATTTCCTGGTCTCCTTTCTGCATTTCATGTCCCATCCCACCCCAGAGGCACATCCTGTGGTCATGGGCAGTGGTGGGCCAGGTGGCCTCTTCCCGATGGGCAGCGAGTCCAGGTCTGAAAAGCTGCTCCCCAGTCGCTTCTCGGCAGGGCGCCCACTGCCTGCCTCCCGAGGACTGCGGCTTCTGTGCCACTTTCCCATGTACCGCTGCCCAGCGGGCCTGAGACCCCTCGCCCACGTCCCCACCCACCGCTGCCCACCTTCCTCACTTTTCCTTCCAGCTGTTGGCAGATTCAGGAACAGCTGTCGCTGCCGGGGGCTCTGTGTCTCAGTTCTTTCTGTGCGAAGGGACCTCGAACATCAGCAGAATCCACATGCACAGTGAGGTTTGAGTGCGCTGCCCAGGCAGGCGTAGGAGGCAGGAGAGTAGAGGCGAGAGCGGCAGCTGGTCGGGGAGAGGAAGCCCTGGCAGCAAGGCCCTCGGCTGGTGATCACCTCGTGCCCACTGGCAACAGGGCTGTCAGCTGCCCTGTCTGCGAGGTGCACTGACCACTGTGGGCAGGGGTACAGGGTGCACATGGACAGAGCCAGGCAGCACTGCACCTCAGGACCCTCCCTTTGAGGCGTGAAGCAGCTGGGCTCTCTGCTGCTCATGACCCATGAGAATGGAATCCTCAAGGTGGAGGTCATGCAGGAGGACGTGGGCAGGGTGGGCTGCTCTCCAGCCCTTCTGGGCTCCTTTCCGAGAACTCCTGTGCCTGTCACACAGCACGGGAAGGAGCAGGGATGCTGTGCTTTTTTTTGGCTGGGGGGCAGCAATGCTGGGGATTGAACTCAGGACTTCGCGCTTGTAAGGCAGGTGCTTGTACCGCTGAGCTAAAGCCCCACCACCCAGGATACTGTAGGATACAGCTCCACTCACAATGGAAGAGGGCCAGGTTCCCTCCTGGAGCCTTAATTTGCTGGCCTTGGGTTAGACCAGTGGTTCTTGAACTTGGGCTTTCAAGTTAGGAGGCTGCAAGGCACCCAAGTCTGTGCCCCTGGGGTGTCCTGAGTCAGCAGGTCTGGGGTAGGGCCTGGGGTTGCACTTTCAGAATGAGTGGGCTAGGCGGGTGGGGTTGCGGGTCCAACAGAACCCACGGTTTCCTCATTCCGGGAAGCCCCCCCCCTCCCCCGTCTCTGGCCACGCTGAGGAGCAGACCTGGGGTTCTGGCGCAGGCTCTGCTGGCGGAGTCGGGCAGTGGAGGAAGTCGGTCCGGGTGTCCGGGTGTGCCCTCCTTGGAGGGTACCCTGGGTCCCGGCCCTCTCCCTCCACGGGGTGTGTAGCGTTGCTTGGCCAGGTGCACCAGCCACGATCCACCTGACACAGGCCCCAAGTAAGGAGGTGAAGTGTAGGGACCTGGACCTTTGAAAGGGGAAGCCTGAGTCACCAGGCGTGCCCCACCCCGCCCCCGCTGGGTCCTGATCCCTCCTCCTGCCCCAGTCGCCTGCCGGGCAGGCTCCGCCCCGCTGCTTCTGGGCCCGGCCCTCTCCGTAGGCTACAAAGTCGCCAGTCCAGGTCCTCTCAGTGGCTTAGCCGCAGGCATGGCGCGCGCATCAGGCTCCGAGAGGCACCTGCTGCTCATCTACACTGGCGGCACTTTGGGCATGCAGAGCAAGGGCGGGGGTGAGTCGGAGGAGCTTCGCCCCCTAGCGGCCTTGCGAATCCCACAGGTGCTGGAGCCGGGGAGTCCCTGAGCCCAAGGTCGGCTCTGCCCTGCTGCCCTGCGCCCTCTGGGCCCGCCAGCTTGCCTCTGTGGGTGGGCCGCCCTTCAGCTGGCACCTCCGCTGCCCTGCCCACCTCTATCTGCCCTACAGCCCCAGCTGCCCTCTGCCACCAGCCCTGCGCTGGACATCTAGGCCCCTGCCAGCCACACGTGCACACCGCAGCTGGAGAATGACACCTTCCCCTGGTGTGCCCTCCTCCTGGAAGATGAGCCTGGGCTTAATTCTGTCCCATCTTCCACTCTGGGCCTGGCCAGGCTCCTCAGAACCAGCTCGAGCTTCTGCCTTGCTGATCAGTCACTGTGAGGAGCGGTGGGAGGCAGAGGCTGCCCCAGACCACCAGGCCGTGTGGGGGCAGCGTGGCGTGGTGCTCACTGTACCTGGGCGCAGGCAGACAGAGGGTGGACGGCTGTCGGCAGGGACTAAAGCCAAGTGGGCTCCTTCTAGGGTTAGTAAGAAGGCAAGGGCACGGGCAGGAAGATCTCAGTAAACGTCAGTGGGCAAAGCTCTCTGGGTGTCCCGTGCCTCAGCGGGTGAGGTCCTGAAGTGTCCGGTGGCGTGAATGTTGGGCCGTGGGATGCAGCCTGCTGCATCTTACCTCTTTATCACGTCTTCTATTGGCCACAGGCACCAGTGCTGAGCTGGGAACAGTGCCTCTGCTGGCAGGCAGCTTGGGTACCCAGAGAGTCACATCTGAATCACACCTTACATCCTGTCTTTTTACTGTGACAAACAGAAAGGAAAAAGAAGGGAGATGGACACTGTTTCTTATGCCCGCTGCCTACGTGTCCCGTGTGCAGAGTGGGCACCCTAGCAGGAAGCAGCCCTTGGGGAGGAGAAGAGCCACTACTGCCCATTAGTGACTGTTTGGATGTGGTCTTGTAAGAACTGCGACAGGGTCCAAAAAGACAGGGCCTGAATGAGAGAAGGAGGGTGGTGCAGGCAGCAGCCTGCTGCGGGGAGGAGCCCTGAGACCCCTGCGGAAGGTCCATGAGACGGGCTGCAGGAAAGGAGAGAGCGGGTCTGACTGAAGTAGAGGTGAAGAGGGGCGGGGTGCGCGGGAAGAGTAAAGAAGGCGTCTTTGAAATCTAGGACTCGGTAATGGGGAGATAGAAGATAGGAGGGCGGGGTGCTGGGAACTGGGGTGTCGGAGCAGGCGAGAGGTAACTGGTTTCAGTTCCTTCAGAGCCGATGGGAGCTGGGTGTTGGCGCTGGGAGCCATGCGGCTGCCTGGCTTCACTGGGATGGCAAGAGGTGTCTGGTTGAGAACCAGGGAGGAAGGCGAGGACGTATCCCAGACCCTAAGGTCCAACTCTGGGGAGGCAGCGGGGCTTTGGGTGAGGCCAGAGAAGAAGAAGAAGAGAAATGCTCAACTGACAGAGGGGTCCTGTGAGCTGACTGAATAATACTGATCTAAGAGGAAGCGAGTGGTGGGTGGGCGGGCGTGCAAGCACGGTGATGACCTGGGCCGTGGCTGTCTCCCGAGGTGACCCATGTCGACTAGACTTTACCAGGCCAGGGTTCTTCTTTATTTCGTCTCTTGGGAGCACATGGGTTCGGTTTTGGTTGCTTATCTTGAGGTCTGGCTCTTACGCAGTTGTAGTATAGATAAGGCCAAAGACCAGTTAAATAAGTGTGAGCCGAACAATGAAATCAACGAGACTGTTACGGATATAATAAACAGTGTTTTACTAGGAAGACTCAGCAGTAAGCTTCCATAAGGAGGTGAGGAGAAGGTCCAGGGAACTTTAGAATCTAATATGGCCCTGATCTGTCATCTAATATCTGAATAGCCACAGAGATATTAGAAGGATCAGGAATGTATACACATTCATCTTTCATAGTAAGATGAGAATACTGTTGTTAGAATGTCTGCTGTCATCTGATTTTGGAGGAATATATTTGTATATATATACACACATACACACACTTAGGAGAGAGAGAGAGACCAAAGTGTCTTACAGTATATAACTTATTTTGGAGGACATATAGACAGATGGCAAAAGTTTATCTTTTTTATTGTACTTTTCTGCCAGATGTTTAAGGCCCGATGTGTTCATTATCTTGACCTTTTGCTATCTGTCAAGGTCAGAAAACCTCTTGAAGCTTCACTCCTGGAACCGTGAACAGAACCCTCCACTCCTGTAGCTATCAACTGCCAAGACGGGTCACAGACAGACCTTTCTGCTGGCGACCCTCCTTGGGCACAGTCACATCTTGCAGGTCTGCCTCCTGGCCATCAGTCTCCCTGCTCTGGAGATGGGTAACGAGCCAGACTTGCAGGGTCCTGTTGGAAAGTTCTCTCATATCTGGGGCTCTGCTGACCTCGGAGGGCCAGGGCCAGAGTGCTGGCCATCCTCTCAGCCCAGTTGTCTCCTAGTCCTGGTCTCTAAACTTCAGCTGGTGCATACTCAGCAGAGAAGATTAATTCTCCCGATCTTAGTTAGCAGATGTAAAACACAATGTAATTTGTTTTTTAATAGCTGTCATTTCTTGTTAAAGGCAAATCACGGTGAGCTTTATAACCAAACCTCTTTGAGGGAAGGGTATTTTTAATCAAGGGGTTTTAAGTTAACTTTCGGGGTATAGGAGAAACAGGATTTGAAGAGTCTGAAGAGAAAGAGCTCAGATAGCGGCTGATCTGGGAGAGGTTGGGCAGAGGAGCAGGAAGACCATCGAGCAGCAGCCAGACTGGGCGTGTGGCAGAGTGGCGAGTGGGAGTTGGGCAAGTGCGTGAACAAAGGTTATGGGGGCAGCAGTGGCCTTTGGCAGGCGGGGGCCGGGTTGGGCTCCGGCTGGGTGTGGATCAGTTCACTCATGGAGGCAGACGGCCACAGACGGCAGCAGCAGGGAGCAGGGTGGTGATGCAGTACAGTCAGTGTGCGTGTGCGTGTGTCTGTGTGCATGCACACGCACACTTTGACAGGTGTGGCCGGGGGGCCTGTGGCACGGGGTGGGGTGACGGGGTCTGCCCTGCAGGCTGGAGATTTTTTCCCCCGAGCTGCATGCAGGGCCAAGTGTGGGCTGTGGGCTGGGGACACATGGGCACTGTGGTTCTGCTGTGTGTATGAGCACCAGGCACTAAGTGTCTCGATCTCTGTGGCAGCTCCTGTGTCTCCAGGTGATTCGTGGTAGCAGGAGGGTGTGGAGTGAGGGGTGTTGAGGGGAACTGGCATGGCAGGGGAGCGAAGGGGGTGCGTACGGCATGGAAAGGAGGAGAAGAATTAGGCCCTCTAGCTCCCTAGTACAGAGGAGTCCAGACCTGTAGCTCGAGCCTTGAAGGAGGCCTGGGAAAGGGCTCCGACTGCACTACTGTGGGCTGCTCTGAGGCACAGGTGCCCGATGGTCCCCGAGAGTTGCCTTTTGCCCTCCTTGGTGGTGCAGGCAGACAGGCAGATAAGTGGAGACTGTCTGCTAGTGATCCTTCCACGCTGTGCAGAGCTGGTTTCCGCCAAGGGACTTTAGTCTCTGCTGGAGAGCTGCCCAGCTATGCCCTCAGCTGTCCTTTTGGTCTGCACCAGTTCTGCGTCATCAGAGCTCTGTCTCCAGAAAGGAGTTCGGTTTTCTGTTTGGTCAGCATTCTACTGCGCACTGGTATCAGTGGGAATTTCCCAGGGGTACTGGAGAACCCTGTCCTCTGCCTTGAGGGTGGCATCTTCCCTACAGGTGATTACTGGCTGGCAGAGTAACCACTATTTGGCTGTAGTATTTCTATAGGGGACGAATAAAAGCCCGAGATTTCATAAGACCCATTTTACAGAATTTTATCAAAGTCCACTAGATGGTGCTCTAACACAAGTTCTCCTTAGCACAGTCTAAGATTTAAAACCTCAGCAGTCAGGAGTCAAGACAGGCTCAGAGAGACCACCTGTGACACGCATGAAACACAAATGCAGGACTTTGTCCCCGAGAGTAAAACATCCTTTTAGAGCAATATCCTAAAGCGATTTACAAAAGACAAGAGTGGTGGCAAGCAAGAATGACAATTAGGGTTACCTAATATAACTCGGCGGTCAAGAAATAAAGTGAATTCCATCTCCTGTCAATTATTTGTAAAATGGAAAAATCAGAAGTATTGTGCTCTGGCCACCAAGAGCCATTGTCTAGCAGGAAGCTTAGCCACGCCGTATCGCAGGAAGAGGCCAGAGCTTGGGCTTCAGGTCTGGAGATGTGGCGAGGCTGGGACTCGAAGAGGCAGGGGCAGGATGCAAGGTGCACGGTTCCCCCACTGGGGTGCAGGGAGAGGTGCGGGAGGGTGGACATCTCCAGTTAGGACCCGAAGCTGTAAACGCAAGCTGCTGAGCAAGGCACACGTCTTTGCAGCTGGTCAGAGGCTAAAGGGAAGCCACCTTCGCAGGGGTGCTTTTCCAGACTGGTGCTGGAGTCTGAAAAGCACAAGAATCATACGGGCCTGTCTCTGACTTTGCAGGGGAGAGGAAAACGCATGTAGGGAGCAGGCTGGAGAGAGAGAGGGCGACAGAGGAAGAGAGAGACTAGGGGCTTGTCTGATCAAACGCCTGGCCAAACCTGGCACGGCAGAGGCAGCCGGAGCTCAGGGACCGAGGTCTGAGGACCTTGGCTGCTGGGAGGTCTCAATCGGGTTGGAGTTCAGCTGTGAGGAGCAGAGAAGGGCTTCCTGGAGGTGGTGTCCGGAGCTGGGCCTTGAGGCTCCTGCTAGTGAGGCCTGAGGGCAGCACATTCGGGCAGCACAGCAGCGCAGTGTGGGGAGGTGGGGTAGAGTGCTGGGGCTGCCTGTGAGACAGACTGGCGGACCTCGCTTGGTCAGAAGTGTGGATGACTGGAGATGGGGAGCAGGCCAAGTGGGACCTGGCAGAGTGGTGGCGGTGCTCGGGGAACTATCTGGGTTGCAGAAGATTCTCTATCAGCTCCAAGGGAGGAGGCCATGGCATCCGGGCCGGGATGGCAGTTGATCTCTGGGGGATCGCCTCCGCCTGGAGCCCCAGCTGTGGCAGCCCCTCTGACCCCACCATGACTGCATCTCCCTGCTGCCCACAGTGCTCGTCCCCGGCCCAGGCCTGGTCACTCTGCTGCGGACCCTGCCCATGTTCCATGACAAGGAGTTCGCCCAGGCCCAGGGCCTCCCTGACCATGCTCTGGCGCTGCCGTGAGTGGGGGCTCCCCGGGCTGCAGGTTGTCTGGAGGGCAAGATGGGCTGGTCCTGAGGTTCTCAGGGTGGTGGATGTGACCTCCGACAGCTTCCACCAGTGCACCAGTAGGAGGTGACAGCTTCCACCCCCAAGGGCTGGGTGATGGCTTCCATCCACACACCCAGAGAGAACAGCCCTGTCTGGAGCTGGAGCCCACCCAGAGTCCCGGCTACACTGGGCCTTTCCCTCCTGTGTCTGGGGCCAACCAGGGGCTGGGCTGTGAGTTGTCCTCACCCCAGCTGCTCTCCCCGAGTGACCTCCCCCTGGGCTGGTCCTGTCGCCTACCTGCAGGTGTGGAAGGGGACATTGTTTGGGGATAGCCTGTCCCAGCCCACGCCGTCACCCCTCCGTACCAATGGAAGGGAGTCCTGTAGTCAGGGCCCTGCGGCCTGCAATGTGTGGACCCCTAGCAGTCACCCAGGGAATTCCGGATCCTGAGGGACCAGAGCAGGAACCTGTGTTCTGCCTCCTGCAGCCCTGCCAGCCACGGCCCCAGGGTCCTCTACACGGTGCTGGAGTGCCAGCCCCTCTTGGATTCCAGCGACATGACCATCGATGATTGGATTCGCATAGCCAAGATCATAGAGGTAGGGCTGCAGGGTGAGGGAGGTGTGGGCCCCCCGCTGAGAGGCCCAGTCCTGGGCACCGCAGGGCAACACCCAGGCGCTCACCCCAAGCAGGGGTAGGGCAGGTGCTGAGCCACTTGCTTTCCTGTCAGGGAGCAGCCTGGCAGCTGGCCCGGTCTGTTCCTATGCTTGGTTTGGCCTGGCTGATGCAGGACAGGATGGGCACAGCTGCCAGGGCACCAATAGGCTCTGTGTGACTGGCCCTCTCCCAGCTGTGTGGCCATCTTAGTGGGCTGGAGACCAGGGAACCCACTCAGGTTGTAGCAGTCTGTGGTGCTGTGTGCCATGGCCAGCTGCCCTCCGGCCTCCCCAATCCCAGCTCTTGCACAAGCCCACCCTCCCATCCATCAGCCCCATTCCCACCTGCCTCCCTGAAAACTCCCTTGCTGTCTGGGTGTGGTGTCATCCCAGCTACTCAGAAGGCAGGAGGATCACAAGTTCAAGATCGGACCAGTGGTATGGGGTCCCTGGTTACACCCCGAACTCCAGCCCCAGTTGAGGTCCACCTGGGACAGTGCGACCCTGACTGTCTTCGTTTTGGGAATGAGGGGCCAGGACACCTGAGGCCGGGGGAGGGGGCAGCCTTCAGGCAGCACAGCAGTGTATTGTAGGGAGGTGGGTTGTGCTGGTCCAGGAGGACTAGCTCTGTGGGCCCAGATCTGGCTGCCCTGCTGAGCCCTGGGAGGCGCCCTATGTCCCTGCCTGGAGGTCAGAGTAGCCTCACCCCGGCCTTCTCAGCCTGCAGCTGGGGCTTCTCATGGCCACCAGAGGGCGCACTGCCCTGCTGTGGCTCCTGTCCCCTATTGGTTGCCAGACTGGTGGGCCAGGAGCGGTCCCTGTCATCTCAGAACAGTGTCCCTGGCTGCCACAGCCTATGCCAGCTGCCTGCTATGAGGTGGTAGCCAGGGGCATCCCGCAGGGCCATCTGTGCCTGCTTAGTGGCCAGAGTCCCTGGCTGGGTTCACTTCTTCGCAGCCTCCCAGACCACCTGCCTTGTGCTGGTCACCTGTGTCCATGCCGTCTTTCCAGTGGATGGAGGGGTCTTGGGAGCCCCCTTCTGGTCACCCCTGCCTGGGAGGTCCTGGCAGCCAGTCTGGGGGCAGCTCCTACCTTCCAGGAGCATTAGGAGCCCCCTTCCCCAGGCCCCACAGTCTCAGGCCCCAAGCCAGCCACTGGGATGCAGGGATTCGGGAATCATAGGGCCCTGGGCTCCAGGCAGGGAGCCCTAGCCCCTTCATCTGCACTGGGCTCAGTGGCTGCCCAAGCCCCTGCCCGCGGGTTGCCCTGAGCACACTTCTCCTGCAGAGGCACTATGAGCAGTACCAAGGCTTTGTGGTTATCCACGGCACCGACACCATGGCCTTTGGGGCCTCCATGCTGTCCTTCATGCTGGAAAACCTGCACAAACCAGTCATCCTCACTGGCGCCCAGGTACCAGGAAGTGGCTTCCCGGGGGTGAGCTGGGGCCTGGCTTCCCGCTGTGCCCTGCATCTGAGCAGCTCCTGCCGTGTGCTGCCAGTCAGGGAGTGTGGACATCCTCTGATGCCACCCAGGGTGCCTGGCACATGACGCCCCTTCCTCTCACCCTGACCTGATGCAGCAGAGGGTCCAGAGGGACCTGCTGGAGGGCCTGCTGGAGGGACCTGTGTGGGGCTTGGCAAGAGATGGTCCTGGTGGCCATCAGGTGGTGGGGCAGCTGGGCCAGGTGCTTGGCCTGCACAGGGCAGGGCCCGTGGGTTGTGGCACTTGGTGTGGGGACCACTGTTGGCAGCCTTGGAGGTGGGAGCTCCCCTCTCCAGAGATCCTGGCTGCCTCTACCCTGGGGCGTTTTCTGGAGAGGAGTTTTCCCAGCCTGCCTGTGCTGCCCTGCCTCAGCCTACCTCCCCGGCTCTCCCCAGGTGCCAATCCGTGTGCTGTGGAATGACGCCCGGGAAAACCTGCTGGGGGCGTTGCTTGTGGCCGGCCAATACATCATCCCTGAGGTACCCAGTTCCTGGGCATGGCTTACATCAATGGGGGAAACGGGTGCTGTGGCTGGGTGTACAGCCCACAAGCTGAGGATTTGTGGGTGTGGCACTCAGGACCACAGATAAGGGTCCTGTCAAGTTTCTGGTTTGCCTTATGACTAACACAAGGCCACTGGCAAACACCTGAGAGCCAGGCAAGGTGGTGCAGGCTGGTAATCCCAGCACTATGGGAGGCTGAGGCAAGAGGATCACAAGTTCAAGCCCAGCCTGGGCAACTTAGCCACTTAGCTAGACTGTCCAGAATACAAAGCGGCGAGGGTTGCGGGCCCAGGGTTCGGTCCTCAGAAACATGAAAATGAAACTTTGGGAAGGAGATAAAGCAGACAAGCCAAGGACCATCTCGCTGCCCAGAGGCACTGCTGTTAACCTGGTGTCTCTGTGTCCTGGGCATTTGCATGCCAGTCGCAGACGTGTGGACTTGCTCCTCACCTCCTAGGTCTGCCTGTTTATGAACAGTCAGCTGTTTCGGGGAAACCGGGTAACCAAGGTGGACTCCCAGAAGTTTGAGGCCTTCTGCTCCCCCAATCTGTCCCCACTAGCCACTGTGGGCGCGGATGTCACAAGTAAGCCTGCCAGGGAGTGGGTGATAACTGGGAGGAGCTGGTGCCAGGGGCCTGGGGGACTCCTGGCACGGAGGGGGGGTGGCGGGTGGGTAGAGGGGTGTCCTCAGGGTGGGCCCTGGAGGGCAGATCTGGGGCTCTGCCTCTTGCATGTCCTGTCCATCACGTGGGCCCACACCAGGTAATCCTCAGTGACCACTGTGGCTATGTGGTCCACTCTTCTCTGTGCTCTGGACCCGTGGGTGCTTGGCTATTCTTGTCCTCGTGGGGCTGTTTCGTCAGGCTTCCTGTCCGCAGGGAGCCTGGCCAGCCCTCCTTGCCCTGGTGCAGAGCTGCCCTCTTACCCCACCCCGCTCTCCCATCCACCCACAAGGCAGATCCTGCAAGGGCCTTGGTCCTGAGGGCAGCCCAGATCTGCCTGGGCCCCACTGCTTTCTGACCACAGGGCTTGTCCTGCCCTCCTGTCCGAGGGCCCCCCCTTGGGGCCTGGCCTCAGAGCCCCCACTGTGCTGGCTACCACACAAGGGCATCCGGAGCCTCGATTCCCTGCCCCAGCTGGGTTTCTGCAGGCATGGTGCTGGGGGGCTGCTTGAACCCAAGTGGCTGGTCGGTTGACCAGGTGGCTGGGCAGCAACCTGGGGCGGGGAGGCCCTTAGAGCCTGTCTGCTGTCAGGCAGACCTGAGCCCCACTTCTGTCCTGGGGCTCTCACCTGCACCCCCTTCCCCATGTTCCTCCCAGCTCCTTCCAGGAGTGTCTGTATGCCTAACAGTGCCCAGCGGGCCAAAGGCCTCCTGGGGGCACCTATGTGAGCTGGTCCTGCTGCCCAGGGAATGAGTGCTGCCCTCTAGGTCAGCTCCCCATGGGCACTGAGCCATACCTCACCTGGGTGGGCCGAGAGGCCAATGGCCTGGACCCCAGGCCTCCGCTATGCTCAGAGCCCAGCACCTCTGACCCCTCCCGACAGGGCAGCTGGCCCTTACCTGGCCACCTGGGGGCCGACCCGGACCCTGGCACCCTGAGCCCTAGCCTGGTTGTCCCCACGGTGTGCTGCAGGTGTGTGGGAGCCTGCGCCCCGCCTGCTGCACTGATGTCAGCCGGCCCAGCAGGTTTTGACACTGCCTTGAGAAATTCCAGGCTCAGCCCAGGGTGTGGCAGCTGGGGCCTCTGAGGGGGGCAAGCTGGGGGGGCGGCAAACCAGGCCCCCTCCCAAGACACAGCACGGGTGTGACCTCCCGGGAGCTCCCTGCCATCTCTGCATAGTTCTGGGAGCCTGGTGACAGTGACCAGGATGGAAGGGTAGTCACGTCCTCACCCCCAGGCCCTGCCTCTGCCTGAAGTCTGCCCAGCCTGAGAGGCCTGGAGTAGCGGAGGGGGGAAGGGGACACAGCTGGTAGCCACAGGTGGGGCCTTGGGCTGTGTCGACCATGCATTGAGCCCAGCGCCCTCCTTGGTACAGGGCAGGCCGCTCTCCTCCCAGATGTGCTGGAGCTGTATTGGCCACGAGTTCTGCTCCTGCAGCGTTCCCTGCTTTAGAGAGACAGGCCAGGGGCTTTACGGACTGTGCTGCATGGGCCTGGCCTGGTTAGAGCTGCCCTCTATCCCACTGTGTCCATTCCTGGCCTCAAGACCTGGGGATTTCATAGAATCTGTTCCCAGGCGGTGGCCACCAGATGGGCTTCAGTCTCCTCATCACCCCCTCGGCAGCCGTAACCCCACCCCAGCCTCATCTGCTGGTATAAGTCCCACAAGCACTCCACACTGATGCCAGCTCCCTCTGCATGCTGAGGGCTTCGAGATGCTGAGGCCCTGCCTGGCGTATCCAAAATGGCCTCTTCCTCTCCATTAAATGGGAATGGCTCTTAGAACAAGGGCCAGAGGCAGATGCACTTACATGCCTGTGGGAAGGAAGCACCCAGCCAGTTACAGGGTGGCCCTTACCTGGCCCCCTGGAGGCCGACCCAGACCCTGGCACCCTGAGCCCTAGCCTGGTTGCCCCCACAGTGCGCTGCAGGTGTGTGGGAGCCTGTGCCCCGCCTGCTGCACTGATGTCAGCCGGCCCAGCAGGTTTTGACACTGCCTTGCTCCTGCCTGGTCTCAGTTTCCCTGTGTGGGCCTGGCCCTGAGGATCCCTTTGGGGCCATTTAGTGCAGGTGGAGTCTCCAGCGTCCACCTCACTGGGCACCACCAGGGTCAGGTCAGGCTTCCTGTGTCAGCCTCGAGGTCCTTTGCTTGGCCAAAACTAAGAGGCACTGACCCCTTGCCATTTGCTGCAGAGCCCCAGAGTGTATGGTCTGGGGTGCAGGCAGGCAGGGGAAGGACAAGGCCTCTGGCACTTCTGGGCCACCTGACTGGAGGCTTCCTTTCCTAAATGTGAGAGGGTCTGAGACAGCCTTCCTTCACGCATCCACTTGGTGGGCAGTGGGCACAGTAGGTGCCCAGCGAGGGGGGCACTGGAACCTGGCACAGCAGCCTTTGTGCTGCTGTTGCATGTGCCTGGATGGCTGTGCCCTCCCCTTTGGCCTGCCAGGCACAGCCAGGCCTCCTGGTTGGGGGGGTCCCCTTCACACTCCTCCTGTGCTGATGAGCACGCAGGCTTACTGATGCCCTATCAGCCAGGTGATGGCCTCGCCTGTGTCCCAGTGGGACAGCACAGGGCTTCAGGTCCCATCAGCAACTCAGAAACCAGGGCCTGGCCTGAATCCTAAAGGCCACTCCTGACACCATCCCTGGGTCCCAGAGGAGGTGGGGGCCCAAGTCACCACTGCATGCTATTGCACCCCTGCCCCCTGGGCTCTTGGCACTGGCCTGGTGAGTGGGGCTGGGAGGATCTGCCCTGGCAGGAAGTTGGGGAAAGAGGCTGCCCCTGGGCACGGGGATCTCATACCCAGCCCCTCTCTGTCCTCAGTTGCCTGGGACCTGGTGCGCAAGGTCAACTGGAAGGACCCGCTGGTGGTGCACAGCAACATGGAGCACGACGTGGCACTGCTGCGCCTCTACCCTGGCATCCCGGCCTCCCTGGTAGGCCTGCCCTGCTCTGTACCCCAAGGGTGCCAGCATGCTCCCACACCCGCGCGCTCCCCAGCCGGCCAGCTAGTTCAGCCCCCACTTGGAATCTAGGCTCCACAGGGAAGCCCCACCTGCTAAGTCTCGGCTTCCCTTTGCCCCGGGCCCTTCCCATCCGCAGTGGGCACTGCCCTGTGCCCTCCTTGCCGTAGCCCCCACCTCCTCTGGGACCTAGGAACTGTGTCGGGAGTGGCCTTAGGATTCAGGCCAGGCCCTGGTTTCTAAGCTGCTGATGGGACTCAAAGCCCTGTGTTCTCCCACTGGGACACAGGCAAGGCCAGTGCCCAGCCAATAAGGAGTCAGGAATCCTGCATGCCCATCAGCACAGCCTCCTAGCCCTGTGCCAGCGCTCCCGCCCCTGCTACTGGGGCAGACAGAGCGCCCTGGCCAGCCTGTGGCTCCCTCTCCTTGTCTGCCACCCCTTGGCACATGTCCAGGGTACAAGGTCCTGCCTCACGGGATGAGGGGTCACTAGATAGGGAACCCATTCTCTGTGTGACCTGGGGCTGCCCACAGCTGATCTCAGAGCCACACAACAGGCACAGAACAGGCCCTGGCTCCCCCGCGACTGGAGAAGAAAGCAAGGCCCTCAGCAGCGTCCCCACGCGCTTGCGTCCCACAGGTCCGGGCATTCCTGCAGCCCCCGCTCAAGGGCGTGGTCCTGGAGACCTTCGGCTCTGGCAACGGGCCGAGCAAGCCCGACCTGCTGCAGGAGTTGCGGGCCGCGGCCCAGCGCGGCCTCATCATGGTCAACTGCAGCCAGTGCCTGCGGGGGTCTGTGACCCCGGGCTATGCCACGAGCTTGGTGAGAGCTGGAAGCCGAGGCTGGGAGGTGTGGGAGGGTGCAGGCCAGGCCTGGGCTGTGACAGCTACCCCATTCCCCTCCCTGCAGGCGGGCGCCAACATCGTGTCCGGCTTAGACATGACCTCAGAGGCCGCGCTGGCTAAGCTGTCCTACGTGTTGGGCCTGCCGGAGCTGAGCCTGGAGCGCAGGCAGGAGGTACACGCGCAGTCCGCTGTGTGCGCACAGGCTCCGGGGTTTGCGCATGCGCACATGTCAGCCAGCAATGCCTGTCCTTGCCCAACCTGGCTCGGGGACCCCCCTTTTTCTCTGGGGAACCTCAAGTTCTAGACAAACAGGCCCAGAGCCTCCCTGGAGCTCTCTCCTGCCCCGCCCTTCAGATCCCTGGGCTGCTGGTCGGTGCTGAGTTCGCAGGGCTGAGTGTGGGTCTCAGAGGCCGCCCCAAGGGTGGCGTCCTGAGCTGCACAGCTGAGCCCAGGGTCCTCTGTGTCCTCCAGCTGCTGGCCAAGGATCTTCGCGGGGAAATGACACTGCCCACGGCAGACCTGCACCAGTCCTCTCCGCCGGGCAGCACACTGGGGCAAGGTGTCGCCCGGCTCTTTAGTCTGTTCGGTTGCCAGGTATGCGGTATGGACTGTGGCAGCACCTCTGGAGCGGCAGGCCACGGGCCCTACAGGACGAGCCAGCCCATGGCCACTTTCATTCAGCCCTGTCCACCAGGAGGGAGACCCACAGGGGCCCTGGGAGCCCAAGGTGCAGGTTCCTCTGCACAGGACTTGGGTGTGAAGGGTTGGGGCCTGGGGCCTCTGGCCTCTGAGACCCTGGTCTCCACTGTGCAGCGCCCCTTGTAGATGCACCCTCTTCTGAGCATCCCTCCCCACGCCTGGGTGTCCAGAGCAGGAGGGCAAGTGCGGACCCGGACCAGCTGGGGCACAGCACTGTGCCTGGGGCCTGCCGGGCTCCATCCCTGGCAGAGCTATCAGGGCAGTTCTGTGATCTTCCTGCCAGGCCAGTGTGTTATAATAGAGCAGAGGAACTGGAGTGTGTGGCCTGTCATCAGGGTGTGACCTTGGAATAGCCAGCTGCCAGCAGCTTTGTGACCAGACTGGGCCATAAGGTTGGAGGGGTGGTGCTGCTGGGCCTTTGAAAAGACCCACCTTCAAGAGGCTTGAGGTGCCCCTGGGTGGTCGTCACCCTTTTCTTTTGCTAATCCACACCCTTCCCACTCACTCACTGGAGCAAGGATTTGGAAGAGGAAATGGACTCAGAAGGGGTGGCAGGCTGGGTCACTCCTACTGGGGATAGACCCAGGTGGTGGCCCTGCATCTGGACCTTTGCTCCAGGGTGTCGGCTCACACAGATCTTGGGTGGGGTAGTGGGGCCTGGGGTGTATGGTCCCAGCATTTTCCCTTTGGGGTGGACTTTGCTGCCTTTGGCCCAGGGTGCCAGGGCCCCATTGCACGGCACAGGCCCAGACTGTGCTGTCATTCTCCCAGGAGGAAGATTCGGTGCAGGACGCCGTGATGCCCAGCCTGGCCCTGGCCTTGGCCCATGCTGGTGAACTCGAGGCTCTGCAGGCACTTATGGAGCTGGTGAGCCCCGCAGTACCGGCCCCTCCCCAGCGTGGGCTGGGGGTGCTGACCCACCGTGGGTGGATGCCCTTTCTGTCCTTGATAGCCCTGCATGGTGTCTGCCCAGCATCAATGCACCCAGACCCCCTCCCCACCCTCTCTTAGTGTGGCCTGCCCTTGTGTCTCCCAGGGCAGTGACCTGCGCCTAAAGGACTCTAATGGCCAAACCCTGTTGCATGTGGCTGCTCGGAATGGGCGTGATGGCGTGGTCACCATGCTGCTGCACAGAGGCATGGATGTCAATGCCCGAGACCGAGACGGCCTCAGCCCACTGCTGTTGGCTGTACAGGGCAGGTACCTGGGGCTGTGCACTGTGATGGATGTGTTGTTAGGGGAACCTGCTCTGTGTGAACAGACCAGGTGGCCTGACTGGGGTGATCAGGAGGGCCCTGTAGAGGAAGTGACCTCCAAGCTGATCCAGGCAGGGTAGTTTTAGAAAAGGGGAGCCACTGGAAAAGTGCAGGAGGCTCCTGGGGCTCCTGAGCCCACCGCTGTGTCTGTACGCTAGGATAGGCCAGAGCCAGCAGGGGTACAGCTGTTGGGCTCAGGCTCCCGGGATGCCGAGCCTGAGGAGTGTAGCAGGGTGTGAGGCCCCTGTGTGGCAAATCCCTGCCTTGCCCATCCCTCCCTGCTCACCCACAGGCCCTGCAGGCCCTGGGGAGGAGCCAGGGAAAGAGATTCCCCCCCACCAGAGGTTCTCCTGTGGTGCCTCGGCCTTGGCAGGAGGCCCCTGCAGTGGCCCTGACCCCAGGCCTGGAGTAGGTGCAGAGGGCATCCTCACAAGTCCTTGGGAGAGCATGTGGCTGTGCTGCGGGCTGGTACTGTTCCCCGTGGCCTCCATATGCTCGGATGCAGAAACTGTCTTGGCTTTGTGACACTGCAGTCACGCCTGTCTGACAGCAGGTCATCCAGCCCTACCCAAGTTCCCCAGACCCAGTCACTGAGGCCAGGGATCCAAGCCCAGCACCCCAGGTCCCTGTTTCAAGCTGAGGGCCCTGGGAGCCATGTCGTGGGAAGGCTTAAGTGTTCCTTGAGGAATGATCCAAGCTTCCAGGATAGCAGGGGGAGCTGCAGGGTGACCCCTGGGCCTGGCCAGCGTGATCTGGGCAGGGATTTGTGTCTGGTGCCCTTGGGGGCTGGTGGGTGGGAGGAGATGAGATGAGCGTACACCGTCTCCTCCCGGCCGCCCACCTGGCCCTGCTGAGCTGGAGTGGCCCAGAAGCCAAGCCACGCCAGAGGGCACAGGGCCCCCTCAGCTGCCCTGTGGCCATGTAAGCTACAGTGTATATCTACACTTGGTATGAGGTTCTGGAAGCAGATCACCCCACTGCACTGATGCACCCTGTCCTTGGCCTGCTGGAGCTCCATTGTGCCCCATCCCCACTGGGCAGACTGCACCCTGAAAGTGAACTCAGGGAGTCACCTTGGGAAACTGCTTGGGTCCCTGGCCTGGAGTCCCGACAGCCCACTGCTGTAGACCTCTGTCTGTAGCCTTGACCCCTCTGACCCTCAGGGCAGACAGCTCAGCTTCCAGAGCTGGTCCCAGGCCTGGCTGAGAGCTGGCTCCAGGGTGAGTGTAAGACAGTTGTCGGGTGCAGCAGAGACCCAGTGCAGACTGTCCGCCAGGCACTGTCCCCAGGATGGGCCAGGGGCACCACTGGGGCATGCAGTGGAGGAGCTGCTCAGACAGCACAGGCCCCAGAGGGCACAAAGGTGGTGGGACTTTAAGAAGGATATGTTGTGTGGGCCTGGGCAAAGGGCCAGGTGGCAGCTGCATCTGCGGCCAGAGCTGCCCAGCACAGTCTTCCTCACACAGGCATCGGGAATGCATCAGGCTGCTGCGGAAGGCTGGGGCCTGCCTGTCCCCCCAGGACCTGAAGGATGCAGGGACCGAGCTGTGCAGGTGAGGGTGCAGGTGACTGGCTGGCCAGGGCACGGGGGCCAAGCAGGATAGCCATGTCCCATCTGTGTCCCAGCCTGGCGGCAGGCAGAAGTATCTACCTGCCACATCCTGGGCCCCCTAGCTTAGAGGACAGTCCAGTGGGTGTGGCAATCATACACTGCACGGGGGACTCAAGCAGTGGGGGAGTCAAGTAGGGCAGAGGCTGGAGACCCATGCCCGTCACTGTTCCTGTAGCCAGGGCCCCAGGCTAGAGAGTGGGCGGCCACGGAGTTGGGCCGGCTGGGAAGGGGGAGGGCGGATGGGAGGAGTGAGGCGCCTGCTCCTCAGGAGAGGACCCTGATCCCTTGGCACCAGCTCCTCTCCTCATCTGGCTCCAAACCCCACAGTCCTGCATGTGGGGTCAGGGGAGACTGGCTCCCCCGCACTGGTCTTTGGTGCCCCAGGGTACGGCTGCTTCTTGGTGATGGGGGCCCAGGCTGGGAGGTGGGGTGAAGTGCAGGGGTCCCAGGAGCATGGGACCCCTTTTTGAGGGGATTTGTGAGATGGCTTGGTCCAGTGCTGAAGTCCAGGGAGGCCTTGATGACTCCATTGACAGCTGGATAAACTGAGGCATAGCCAGTTCCATGGGAGCCAGGACTACAACCATCATCTGGAACCCTGCTTTGGAGTGGGTCAGCCTGCCAAGGGGTGCAGTCGGGGGCCGCTGTGTGAGAGTTGTGGGTGGGGGTCTGGGAGGGACCAGTGATTCACTCAGAAATTACTGGGCACCAGTATGGGTTGCTGCACAGATACCTCCTGATAAGGAGGGAGTCACCAGGCCTGGGGGGCCCAGCGTCAGCCCAGCCAGGCTGAGGTCCCGGGGGTGGAGTGGGGGCCTCCCCTCCAGGCCAGGCCCCCTGCACTCCTAGCCAGGATCCTGTTCAGGCTGCGGAGCCATTGCTACCTCCTTCCTCTCACCCAGGCCCTTGAGAAGTGGCTCTGGGATGGGAGGAGGGTGATGTGTATATGTGCAAGCACATGTGAGTGTGTGTATGTACACGTGAGTGTTCATGTGTGTATGTACACGCGCGTGCCTCCGCCTGAGTCACAGCCACACCCGCCGGTGAAACCAGGCTCCTGCCCAGGGTGGGGCGCTGCTGGATCAGCTGTTTGGGGCCAGCTGTGTGGAACCTTGAATGGGAACGGGCAGCAGGGCACACAGGTGGGAAGGTGCCCATTAGCCCCTGACGGCTCCCTGCCCCCAGGCTGGCATCCAGGGCTGACATGGAAGGCCTGCAGGCATGGGGGCAGGCTGGGGCCGACCTGCAGCAGCCGGGCTATGATGGGCGCAGCGCTCTGTGTGTCGTGAGTGTGCCACCCCCTGTACCCCTGTGCCTCCTCCAGGAAGGCTACCCTGACCCATACACCAGCTCCCTCTCCCTTGCCATGCCTGTCCCTGCAAGGAACCCTTGGGGCTGTCTCCCTTCCCTGTCCCAGACCAAGCCTGGAACTGTGGGGCACATAGGGCCCCATGTGCATGAGCTGGAGGTGTGGGAGAGGGGCAGGGTGTCCTGGGGGCCTTTATGGTCCCTGAGCAGCCCCCCCATACTCCCCCACAGGCAGAAGCAGCCGGGAACCAGGAGGTGCTGGCCCTTCTGCGGAACCTGGCACTTGTAGGCCCGGTGAGTTGTGTCAGAATCTCAGGGCTGGCTAGGCTGGAACACAAGGCCCAGGGAGGGGCTGTGGCAGAGCCCTGCCTCCAGGTCCCGCTGGGCCTGCACGTTTCTCAGGAGACCACCCATTCCCAGGAAGTGCCGCCTGCCATCTGATCGCCAGCAATCCCGCTGTGGTGTGAGCCACTCCGCCATCTGCTGCTTTGACCCACTCGAGGGACCCTAGCACACGACCCCCCAGCAGGATGCACCCCACTACTTAGAGTATACCCCAGGCTGGCTCAGTGACAAGCTGCAAAGGTCTTTGTTGGCAGAACAGCAATAAAGTAACTACAGAGTGGCCACCTCCCAGGCCCCCTGAGTCTAGTGTGCTGGGTCTGTTGGGCTGCAGCCGTGGCTGTGGGAAATGTGGGCGCCGGGCGCTAGGGCACCCTGGGGACCAGAGGGACAGTCATCCCTCTGGGCGGGGTGAGGTGGCACAGGGTGGAGGCCTGGACCAGCCACCCTCCACCACCCTGTACCCCGTCCTCATCATCGGGCAGGGCACAAGGCTGACAGCCCGAGGATGGTAGGAAACTTGACATTGTCTCTACCTGGAGCACTGCCTGTGGTTACTCTAGCCCCACTCAGGTGCGCCTCTGTCCCCACCTATCATGCACCACTGCTGGGGGTCAGGAAAGAGGTGACCAGCCCCAGGGTGCCGGCCAGGGACTGCTACAGGTGTGCCTATGGACATGGCAGCCACCTGCCTGATCAGAGCCTGGTTGGGGCTAAAATCAGGAGTTTGGGCCCAGGTCAGCTCCTGGTCCAAGCTTTAGGTGCCAGCAGGGGCAGTAACTGCCCCAGGACAGAGCCACCAGACACCTGGCACTGCTGTGCACAGTCCTGGCCTCTGCTGCCACCCCTGGCCTTGGCACCTGTGTACCCCACGCCAGGTCTGGATCGTGCCCCTCTGTCCACTGGCGTTAGTCCCCTGGAGCTGGGGTGTGGGAGGATGGCCCTCTGGAGCTTGGGCAGATGCATTACCCAAGACCTAGCACTTGGCACCCAGGTGGGCCAGGCTGGGGCTCCTCAGCCTGGTTCCCAGGCCCCCGCTAAGCCCTGAGGTGCAGACTCCCCCGAAGGTACTGCAACTGGCAGCCTCCCAGCACCTCACCCAGACAGGTGTGCGGGCCTTGCACAACCAGTGATGCCACATGAGGATGGCCAGTCCCAGGCCTTTGCCCCACACCTGGATGGAGCTCTGGAGGAGGTGGCAGGGCTGGGCCCACCCTGATGCCTGCACTTAGCAGCTCTCAGGCAATGCCCACTCTGCCCAGAGGGGCCGAGGGACTGGGTGGCGCTGTCACTCGTGGCCACGCTGCACTCAGCACTTGTCACAGCCTGCAGAGCCAGAGGTTGTGAAAGTTGCAGGTGGTTCATGTTACCCACATGGCAGGATCCTCCCAAGCGTGTGCCAACCTGCTGGTGTGGTGACGCCCACCGGCCTGGGATGCACGCCCTGCTGGGGGGGGGAACGCCCACACTGCCACCATCTAGGGAGTACCCTTGTCACACTGGCTTGTCCCCAAGTGGGTCAGACCGGCTCGGCAGAGATGCTCCCGTGGTGGTGGGGGAGCTGCGGCAGCTGGACAGGCCCCACTCTGGGGCTGCTGTGCTGCCAGACCCAGAGCATCACCAGGGCAGCTGGGGTACAGGGCTGGAGGCCTGGGTGTCCTTGGGGACAGGCTGGCCAGTGGGGGCCATCAACCCCAAGTCACGGGGAAACTGCAGGGGTGGGGGGCTCAGCACTGGGCCTGCAGCCCCTCAAACACATGGAGAGCCAGGCACCAGGCGGCTTTGGAGCGCTCCCATTCTGCTTGTGTTGGCTCCTGTGTCCCCACCACTGTGTAGACAGGAAACCAAAGCACAGCTGTGCACTTCTGTGTCCAGGGTTCCACTCCCACACCCACACCGGCAAGAGCTGGTGATTGGTCCCCGGGGTCTCGCGACAGACAAGGATGTGCGTGGGCGGCCTGAGCCGGGAACAGAGCGGCGCACAGACGCGGCGCTCTCACCTGGTAATTTCATGCTGGGGAAGCCTCCGCTCCCATGGCCCATTATCTCGGGACCATCTCTCCCTCATGGCCCCGTGTTTCCAGCGCCCTTGCCGGGGATGCTCAGCTGCGCAGAGCTTGGGCCTGCAGCCCATTTCCACAGCCAAGTGCGGTTTAATCCCTGGGACGTCACTGCCTCTGAGACACTGGGTTTCCCCGACTGCAACCAACGAACCCATCACCATTCACTTTATGGGGCGGTTGCTCCAGCACACGGAAACGACCCCACTCCACGTGGTGGCCACCTCGTGACCTGCGTCCAGGCTGCACGCCACCCATAACCACCCACCAAGGCTCAAGTTTTGGGCAGGGACTTGGGGTCCCTCTCTCCCTCCCCCAGGCTGCAGAGTCGACAGTTCTGTGCGCCAGCTCTGTGCGGAGCAGGGCGGGGCGGGTCCTGCAGGGCGAAGGGCTCTCCAGGCGGCAGGACAGGCTGGCCTGCGCCCCGCGTGCGCTGCCCCTTCTCGCGTCCCCACAGAGACAAAGGCCTGGGGACCAGAAACCCGCGGGCCTCTCCCCGCCCCTCTACAGTTTCACTTTCTCTTTGCTCTCCTCCCACGGAGCGCCTTTGAAGGGAGCACACGGGAAGGGCGTGTCTGCTCGGCCCGCCCCTCCTGCTCCGGCCATCACCTTACTCGGCGCCCTGGCCCGAGACCCGGACTGCGGGGAGCCCGCGCGCCACCGGTCCAGGCTAGGAAGCTGGCGTCCCCGGGGCCTGCTCCAGGCCAGGTGCACCCAGTCCCGGGGCTGGAGGCGGGGGCGCCGGGCGGGGCTGGGCAGCCGGTGAGTCAGGACCACCCCCGCGCGGGCGCGTCGAGCAGGTCGCCGGCCCGAGGACGACCCGCCGCGCGACCCGCAGCCCAGGAGCCGCCCGCCTGGAAAAACCGGTCCGGCCAGCACGGCAGGCGCATTCCGGCGCCGGGGAGGGCGGGCGCTCCGCATAAAAGACGCGGCGGCAGGCCGCTGGCGCAGGAGCGCAGCCGTCCGGCCACGCGGGCGAAGGGCCGCCGGAGGCCGCGACGCCGCTCTGGGCGGAGGGTGCTGCGCTTGGCCGAGCCCTGGGCGCCCGTGACGGCGGGGCACACGGCCCGGCTGGACTCAGGGCGCGGGCCGGTCTTCGCGACCCCGGCGACGCACGCGGTCCCGAGGGCAGGGACCTTCTCTCTCCACAGCGCGCTGAGCTGAGGTGCCGCAGACTTGCCCGCCGGGTCCAGTGGTTCTTAACAGTTCAACAGTTCTGTAGGGCAATTGTGAAATGTTTAGGACCACTAGACCCGGCGCGCTCGGCGACGGTGGGGGCGACACCGGCCACCGGACGTCTTCCACACGGCCTGCGGTCAAGGTCAGAGCCAGGGCCGCGCGCTTCTGGCTCGGCGTCGCGACCTCAGCGGAGGAGCCCCAAGCGCTCGCCCTGCAAGACCCCGGGCTCAGGCCGCCGCAGTGTGCCTTCCGCGGGCCCGGGCTGGAGGGATGACCCGGACGGAGGTGCGCACTCGGAGAGCCGGGCGCAGCCAAGAGGTGGGCGGGCGTGGTTGCTCGAGCTGTGGGAACCGCTGAGGTAGGAGCGCCTTATCGCCCACGTTACTGGCGCGTTGCCGGCTTGGAGACGCCCTCATCATCCTCCTTTGACCCATAGGCCGCACCCCTGTCGAAACTCCGCCGGGTTCCCAGCGAGGTTAAAGAGCGCTCCTTGCCCTGGGCGTCCTGATTGTCAGGACGGCCACACCCTCCTGCCCTGGAGAGGGCTGGGAATCTGCCTGCCGAGCAATTCCTGTCACCTAGGGCCTGGGAACGCTGTGTGGCCAGAGAGGCAGGGGTCCAGTGCTCTGCTGCTGAAGGAACCAGGCCAGAAGCCGGCTGGGAAGGGAATGCGGTGGAGACAGGCTTGCACACCTGACATGGCTGGAGTCCCTTGGGATGGAAGGCTGCCCTGGTGGGTGGAGAGCTCCCTTGGGAGAGGTCTGGGGCTGACCACTGCATGGTTCTGTGTGGGCCTGGGAGCCACCCGGCAATGGACCATTGTGTCCCCACAGCCCACAGGCCAGATCCTGTCCACCTGGGTGTGGTGCTGACCTGCCTGGAACCTGCCGGGCCTGCTGGTCCAGCTGCACCCTCTGGGATGCACGGAGCTGCTTGGCCTGGCCTGCATGGGCTGGCGTTTGGGGCCATGCTGGACAGCAGGGACTGCTATGGCATTCCTTGCCTGCTTCCTCTGTGCCCGTGTGAGAATGCTCTGGAACCTGGGGAAGGCCCGGAGCAGGGTTGCTGTCCACCAGCTGGAGGGCCAGGTGCCTCACTGCCTGGCAGATGTCACCGTGACCCTTTCAGGGCAATGGGCAGCACAGCACGTGCCAGGCACCGCATGGTGGCGGTTTTATTTTACACCGCTTTGTCCTTGTAGTTCGGTGGCGCAGTGAGGGGCTGGGTGGGTGCACAGGTGTTTCCATTCCCGTGTGCTGTAGACGTGTATGTTCTAGGCTGATGAAAATAAACACATTCCACAGCATCCGCTGTCCCTGCGGCTGGCGTGCTTTTCCTCCAGGGCTCACCTCCCTGGCCTAGCCCTCCCGAGCTAACCTCTTTTCCTTCCCTGACAGGCAGAGGTGTGGGGGTGTCCCAGTCCCAGCCCTGCCTCTGGCCCTTGGCTCCTGCTGCCAGCATTCTTACTGCCAGAGAGAGGGACCCCTCCAGGGTGCAGGCAGCAGTAGGCCACTGGGCCAGACACTTGAAGGAACCAGCTGGGGGTGTGCCTATCCCAGCAGTGGCTCTGGCTGCTTCCTGCCTGACCCCTCTCCAGCTGGAGACCTCAAACTGCCCCTGGAGAGGTTAGAGACCTCAAACTGCCCCTGGAGAGGTTAGAGAGCTGCGGGGCTGGAGACAGGCAGCGGACCCCCTCCCCCCTGCCCTAGTCGTGGGGGTCAGAGTCCCTGGTGGGTTCAAACCCCAGCTCTGCCACCTACAAGCAGGTGACACTGGCAAGTCCCATAGAAGATCTATGTCCTGTAAGTAGGGCTCCTTGTACAGGGTGTCTGGGGCAGAGATAGTGCATCTTAGAGGTCCTTGGGCTCCCTGGGGCTGTTGGGGACAGGTGGCTCCTCTGTAACAGTCACCAGACCGAGCTCTCTGGCACCACAGCTGCCGCATACCCAGTCTCCCTGTCTCTCCAGTGACAGAAGACACCCAAGGTGCCTGGTATCCATTCCCTATGGGCAGAGGGACTCCTGGCCAGGGCCCAGCTTCCCTGTGCCCTGTGACTCAGTTCCCCCGACATGTGACTGGGGGCAGCTCCCAGGTCCTACACTCTGCTTCCTCTGCCTCTTCAAGCAGGGCCAGGACTCCCAGCCAACAGGGCTGTACCCTGGAGCACCACTGAGTGTCTCTGGATGACCACTGGCTATCTGCTGAGGTCCCCTGAGAATTTCTGGGTTTAATGTTGCAAGTCCCATGTTGTGGGAGGCCCTCAGCACTAGGCAGCCCAGAAGGACATGGTGGACACCACCCTTGTGGCTCAGACACTGACCAGCTTGTCTTTCCCGTGAGAGTTGCTCAGCCGGTATGCTAAGTTGGTGACTCACCCGGAGGCTAAGATCAGCGCAGAGGCCCAGGCTCCAGGAGCTGGGAGGAGCTGGGGTCTGTGTTTGCTGAGGGCCACGTCTTACACAGCAGCTTATGGCAAGGGGAGACAGCTTGCAAGAAGGGTAGTCATGCATTTGGGGCTTTGGGAGATTGCCCCATGCCTCCTATCCCTGGGGGGCAGGAGTCCCTCTGGCTCTCCCCAACTGAGTCCTGGGCACAGTAGGGCCTTCTACATCCATGTCCATTCCCATGGCAAGCAGGACCTGCACAGGCCTGGGCTGGCTGAGGGCTGTGCAGGGCCTGGGGTGTCTTAACTACAGTCTTGCAGTGGCTGGTGGTCAGAGGGAACCGGAAGGACAGCAGATGGTGCCAGACCGTCTCTGTGTCCTCCATGACTCAGGGAGGGCTCTGGGCCCGTGACTCTGCCTATGCATCTGCTTTGTGTCCTGAAAGCTGCAGGCAGGGATAGGAGGGGGGGAAGTGGCTGACCATAAGCCGGCCCGGGGCCTTTCAGTGTGAAGTTAATGGCTGCACAGTAAAGCACAGGCTTCACTTGAAGGATTGAGTCCGTACACGTGCACTCACGAGCCACCACTCTACAGTCAGAGCAGTGGTCAGGACCTCTCACTCGCCCAGCAGGGCGGAATCTGCCCTGCAACTGCCTGCCTTCCCCAGTGCCTGGCTCCAGAGTTCTCTTTGTTGGAAAGTTTTACCTGAGAATTCCTGTATCTTTGGTAGATACAGGACTATTCAGGTTGTTTATTTCTTTTTGAGTTTTAGTGGATTGTGGCTTTCACAATTTTGCTCACTCAGTCTAATTTGTCTAATAAATTTATTGGTATAGAGTTGTTTGTCATAGTCCATTATTATGTATTAATATCCTAGAGTGTGTGAAGGCCTTCTCCCATTCTTAATGTGGATACTTTGTGTTTTCTTTCCTTTTTCCTGGACCAGTCTGGCTAGAGCTTTATCATTTTCATTGGTTTTCTTTTTAAAAAATAGGTTCGGATTTTACTGTTTTTCTCCATCATTTTCGTGTTCTCTGATTTCCAGTTCGTCACTGATTTCCACACTCAGCCTTAGCATTTCCTTCTTTGTCATCTATACCCAGTTTTATTTGCTGTTCTTTTTCTGGGTCCTTTCTGGAAAAAAAAAACCTTCATTTATTAATTTGCTTGACAAATAAAGTTGAAAAATTTGTCATGTGTAACTTGTTTTGAAATCAGTCTACATTATGGAGTTGCTAAATCAAGGTAAGCGGGATAAGTATGACTTCACACACTTGCAGTGTTTTGTGGCGGGAACCTTAACCTGTGCTCAGCATCTCTCAGTAACTCGGCAGACACCTTGTTATTAACCACACCGCCGTGCTGCAGAATGGACCTCCTGGACCTGTTCCTCCTGCCAACTGAAATGTGATTTCCGGTCAACGTCTTCCAAACTTATTTTTCTAGTTTCTTAAAGTAGACAGTGAGTTCATTTATATCCGACCACTTTTTTTTTTGTCTTTTTCTTTTTTATCGGTACCGGGGATTGAACTCACGACTGCCTGCTTGCAGGGCAGGCGCTTATGCCGCTGAGCTAAATCCCCAGCCCCCTCTCTGACCACTTTTAATATTGGCATTTTAGTGCTATAAATTTCTCCCAAGTAATACTTTAGGTATATTTTCCTTTCATTTTCATTCCATCCATCTTGCTGATTTCTCTTTTGAATTTTTCTTTGGCAGTTGGATTATCTGGCAGTGTACATGTAGTTTCAAAATCCTTGGAACATCTTTCAGATATTCAGGATTTTTTAATTCTATTATGGTTAGAGACTACATCATGCATTATTTGAGTAATTAAAGTTTGTTGGCAGCTGGGCATGGGAATGCCCACCTGTATCCTGCCACTCTGCAGGGCGAGGCAGGAGGACTGCAGGTTTTAGCCCAATCTGACACTGGCTTGGCAAGATCCTGCTTGAAATAAAAATGAAAAAAGGGCTGAAGATCTAACTCAGTGCAAGACCTTGGGTTCAGTCCCCAGAACTACAAATAAAAGAGTGTATTGGGTTTGTCTCGTGGCCACTCCATGCTTTACTTTGATGAGTGTTCTGTGTACTGGGGCAGAATGTCAGTGGTTCCTTTGCCGGGGGACTGTTCCACCTGATGCATGGTTCAAAGTGTGGTTTCTCAGCTCTGTGAGGGGTTCATCTGGGTATTCAATGTGTCTCACACTCCCCCTGTGGGCTTGCAGGGTGGGAACCTGTCACAGGCCAACTGCTGTGTCAACTGTGATAGCCAACTGCTGTGTCAACTGCTGGGTTTCGGTGTGCCTTGTGTGGCGGAGAGGACCGCTGAGGAGGGAGTACTGACTGGGTCTGAGTGGCACCAGCCGACAAGCTTGCAGCCTGAGTGGAACAAAAGGGGACAGGACAAGGTGGTCTTACTCTGGTTTCTTTGGAGGAGCTCCAGTGTGCACTGTCTCCTTGGGCTGCGGTCTCCAGGCTTCCAGCACAGGCCACTCCAGGTCTCTAGGTCCTCTGCCTCTGCCTGTACCCCTCGGCTCTGCATCACCAAGGCAGCCCTCCTGCAGGCTCCACTCCTGACTCTGTAGGTGGCCCCTGAAAGGCTCCCTGTACATCATGTCTGTATCTGTGTCTGTCTGTCTGTCTATCTGGCCATCTATCTGTCTAGTATTGTATTAAATCTGTTCCTCTAATGAGCCCTGTCTGGTACACAGGTCAAGGGGCATCGCCACGTAGATCAGGCCAACTTGGTTGAAGTCCGACATCTAGAGCGACTGTGTCCTTTGTTCTCTTCTGGGATAAGCCTTTCATCTTGGTTGTATTCTTCACTCTGAAATTTCCTTTTTTCCAATTTGCTTGTAATTAGTCTGTGGGGGTCTGTTTATATTCTTTTTCTTTGAACAGATTTTTCTCTTCAACCTATGTTTTCCAGTTTTATAGTGTGTTAACCAAGGCATTAAATGCATGTTCTTTAGCGCATGCTAAAGATCTTGCCCTTGTTCAGTTAGTCTCCCCTTTTTAATTAGAATGCTTTGGCCATTTACATTTATTGGGATTATTGATACATTTGAGTTTTGACTATCATCTTACTCTTTGTTTTATCTGTTCTTTGTTCTTCAGTTCCTTTTATGGTTGCTGCCTTTTTTGGATTGAGTGAATATTTTATAATTCCATTTTTTCATTTGCTGTGTGATTAGTTGTAACTTTTTGATATATTTTCCCATTGGATATAGTTATATGTCACTTAACAATGGGGACATAGTCTGAGAAATATCTCCAAGGTGATTTTGTCATTCTGCAAACCTCATAGATTGTTCTTATCCAAACTAAGATGGCTGTGATGACACTCGGCCAAAGACTGTTATGGGATAACATTAGTGCATGCTACACGGCACTGACGGGTCTGTCATTATAGGATATGTGACCATATAGTAAAATGATTTAAAGTTTTTTCCCAAATGCTTTTTTTTTTTGGTACCAGGGATTGAACTCATGACCTCATGCTTGCCAGGCAGCACTTACACCACTGAGCTAAATCCCCAGCCCAAATACTATTTATTTCACTAAAGCCCAGAGAGAAGCAGTGCTGGGATTACAGGCATCTAACACTGTACCTTCTGTTTCAGTCTAATAATTTTTTCCCTCCTTCTTCTTCCTCTAAAACCTTTTATATTTCTTTTGCTTTTTGGTAGATTCCTTGGGTTTTATCTTTCAGTCCTTTTCTTGAATTTTATTTCTGTTATCAATTTTTTCCAAGCGGTTCTTTGCTGCTCCCTGAATTTCCTTTGGACTTAAATTCATGGAGCCTAATACCTTCTTTCTGTGAGGAAACCCTGTAGCTTCACCCTAGAATAATGACAGGGATGTCGTGGGGATGGTGCTCCTGAAGTGGGGAGCTGTGCTCTTGGTGGGTGGCCCTGGGACCCCAAAGCACCCCTATCTTGGTCACCCTAGAAGTCAGTCCTGGCATCACTGTTCCGTGTGGCAGGTCACAAGTGGGCATTCTTCCCAGGCGTAACACACACAGATGCGCAGGGTCTGTATGCACAAGGCCCCTTTGCACCCTGCTCTCTGCCTGGAGAAGCTCCTGGGGGGACAGAGGGGACCTGTGAGTGCCACCCAGAAGGGCTCCCCAGGAAGGACCTTTTCTGGCACCTGGCTCGTGTTGTCCAGATTGTGCACTGGGACCAGGGGGGTCCTCAAAGTTTCCCGGATGGCGCTGTCAGGTGAAGCACCTAGAGCTCAGTAGGAGTCCTGTCCCTGTCCCTTGGATACTACCTGCTTCAGGTGGAGGCTGTGTCCACTCTGGGAGGGGCAGAGGGAGACTGAGCAGGAAGAGGAAGAGGAAAGGAGCAAGGGATGCAGGGGTCAGCAGGGCCTGTTCCATGGGGTGGAGGAATGCAGGGAGGCAGCTGGACTGGCAGGCCTCTTAGACCCAGGCCACAGGGCCTCAGTTTTGCTATGGTCATAGGCAGGAAACGGGACCAAGGATCACTTTGCTTTCCTCTGGCCACAGGGACCATGGCTGATTGCGCCATCTGCTGGCGTCCAATGCAGCACCTTCCTTCCAGAGGCAGCTGAGCCAGGCAGACTCCAGCAGGGGCCTGGGTGTTGGTGACACAGCAGAGGTTAAGGCAGCCTGACCCTTAAGCGGTGGTGTTGGGGAGCTGACCCTGACTGCTGGCTGGGACCCGAGGAAGGGGGTGACCATGGACTCAGTTAGGGACTCCATAGGTCTGGGTCCTGCTGGGAACCCGACAGTGGGAGCAAAATAGGCCTCTGGCTCTGCTCTGTGGCCATGGTTTGTTGGCAGCGGCGGGGATAGAGGTCCTGAGGCATGGCATGTCGGGGGGTGGGAGTGGCAAGAATGGGTGACTGAACTGGTGAACTGATGAGCAAGCCCAGGGAATACAGGGAAGCCTCCCTGACCAGGAGCCCAGCAGGCGCTGGCCGAGGTGCTGAAGCCGCGTGTGGCTGCAGTGCCTGTGCCCTGGGCCTAGCTCTGGTTGGGGAACTGGGGCATGGGAGTGGGCAGGATGGGCTGGGCCGCTGACCAGTGAGCATCCTTGTGCTCAGGCAGTGGCCTGGCCCTGCTGGTCACTCTGCCTGACAGAACGTTTGTGTCCTAGTGTCCTCTCTGGGGTCCAGCTGTCTCCAGGCTGGGCACTCCCAAGTCAGGGTCCCACCCCTGCCCCAGCTGCTGTCTTGGGCCCAGTGCTGGGCGAGGGGTGGAGGCAGCAGTCCCAGCCTTGGAGATCACAGTGAGTGGTCTCCTAGGATGGAGGTCAGATTAAGCATGCAGACACTGTCACGTGGCCTGAGCAGAGACGGCTACGGTAAACATGGGCTCTGGCTACATGCAGCAGGCAGGCTCCTCTCCAGGCATGCAGATGCCCCGTAAAACCCTGGGGGACAATATCGATCTTCCCTGTGTCTGCGAGGAGCCAAGCCACCTCCCAAGCCAAGGCACAGGGCTGCTGGGATCCCTGCTGTCCCCTGGAGGTACCACTCCCCACAACGAGAGCTGGGCCTTCCATGCTCCTGGGGCGGGCTGCAGGGAGTGTGGTGAGCCAAGGCCTCCCAGGCAAGGAGAGTGACTCCCCGCCCCATGCTTTGAAGATCTGAGGGTCCATTGATGCTGAGCAGGGCTCAGGTCTTACTGTTGAGATAAAACTAGCAGCTAGAACAACCAGTGCAGGGAGGGGTGTAGTGAGGCAGGAAACGCTCTCCGGCCCCAGCCTGCAGGCAGCAGTTCCATGTCTCCTGTCCCTGCCGGGGGCACGATGTGCCTCAGGACAGGTGAGGCTGTCTGCACGCCACACGTCTGTCCCTGAGTCTTGTCCAGGCCATTGTCCTGAGGGGTCCCATCCCACCTGTGGTCTGTCCTGTCCCGGAGGAGGAAAGGCCAGGACTGGCTGCTCTCCTAGTACAGACGCAGTCATGTGCACCCTGGAAGTGAGGCCTGCTGCCCCTGCCACTGGGCAAGTGCTGGCTGCAAGGACGGTGTCCCTTCCTTAGGCTGGCTGGAGTGGGGACTGGTCCATGTGTGCCCAGGTGCCTAGGGCCCTCCTCACTCCTGCCTGTCACCCAGGCTCCTCACGCTGTGCCCAGTGCAGGGACCTGACCACTCCAGCCTCCCTGAAATATTGCTGTGCGGGTCTGATTGGAAGCCAAGCTTGGGCAACTAACCCTGAGGCAGCTCCGCTCACTTGCGGGAGTTTTTTTTTTTATGTTTTGCCCCCTTGGCCTAGATTTCCCCAGGGACGGTTTTGACCTCGGCCACAGCCCTGGTAAATTAAATGTTAAAAATCTGCAAAATGACTTTAATCAATCCACAGCAGTGGCGGGTGGCCACCTCCCAGAAGCACCAAGGACGCCTCCCCGGGTTTAGAGTGTGGGAAAAGTGAGTAGGATGGTTCTGCCCAGCGCTCTGACGTGGGGGGAGAGGCCCCAAATCCAGACCACTGGAGCTGACCGCAGGGGCCTAGGGAGAGACTCAGTTGTCCTGGCCTACCCTGATCTTTGTCCCAAGCCATGGGTGCTGTGGACCAGAACAGAGGGCAGCTCTCCGGCCCTCTCCTGACCGGAAGCTGTGAGGGGACTGGCGGGTGTAAGGCGGGTCCGTGGTCCGCAATTAAGGTGTTTACTACGCATCTGTAGCGAGACAAGTGAGAGAGCAGACAGCATTCTCCGGTAGCCACTGGGGGGAGCCAGGGGCGAGCCGGAGAGCGCGGACCTCTGGCCCGCTGTGGAATGAGCCGCAGGGGCTCCAAAGTCTCGCCGCGGGGAGCATGGAGGTGCAGGGCAGTGTGAGCGCCGGTGTCTGCAGCTCGGCTCGGCGTCCCGCGCGCACAGGCCCCTCGGACAGGCGCTCCTTGCTTTATCCGTCCTGTCTGAGACGCCTCTCCTTGGGCCTGTCCGGGGCACCCCAGCTCCCAAAGACCTTCGGCGGGAGCCCCGCTTCCTTAGGCAAACTCTCTTGGCCCGGGCGTTCCGGCTGGGAGCCGTGCACTGCAACGGGAGTGCATCCTGGCTTGAGGGGGGCGGAGGGAGGAGTCGAGGTCGGGACGGGAGGAGGCCGCTGGGACCGCGGAATTAGGGTCCCGGAGTGGCGGCGAGGAGACCGCGGGCCCGACTGGCCGCGCTCTGAAGTCCGAAGACCCAGGCCAGGGTGAGGCGGCGCCTCCTGCGGGCTGCCCGACAGGCTGCCGCTGCTCGTGCGGGCGGGAAGCGCGTCACCGGCCCCCCGCGCGTCTGCAGGCGCCGCAGCCCCATAACTGCCAGGTGCCCCCTGTCGGCGCTGCTCTCCCGCCTTCCTGCTCCGCGTCAGAGCCCGCCACCGAAGGCGCCGCCGTCTGGGGACGCGCGAAGCAGCCGGGCGCGGACCCGCCTCCTCCCCGCGCCACCGCGAGCCGCCCCCACCCCCGTCTGCGTGTCCCGCTCGCAGCCCGGGCGGAGGGGGCGCTGTGGGTACGCGCGCGCGGGGCCGGAGCGCGGGGACGCGCGGCGTGCAGCGAGCGCAGCCCGGGGGCGCGGGCTGCGGAGGACCTGCGGCGGCAGGCGCGCGGGCAGGGAGCGCGCGGGCAGGCGGGGCGGGCCGGCGGCGGCGGCGGGAGGAGGCGTTCGGGCCCGCTGCCGCGCTCCGCTCCTTCATGGCGCTGCCCGGGTCCCCCGAGTCGCCCCGCGGCGCGCCTCGCAAGGTGCCCAGCCTGCTGGAGATGGGGGCGCTGTGCCTGGACTCGGAGATCATCCTGGGCTTCACCAGCCACCTCCTGCGGCGGCGAGGCAAGGTGAGCGGCGGCGGCGCTGTCCCGCGACTTTATGGAGCGCGGAGCAGGCAGCGAGCCCGCGGCTCTGTCGGAGACTCGTGGCTGCACTTTCCCAGGTCGGTGCTTCCCGCATTTCCCTGGCCCGTGAGGGCAGCCCGCAGACCGGAGCCAGGCGAGGTAGGCTGCTGTAGCGCAGAGCGCGGCGCGGGGACCCGGGCTCACCTAGTGCGCGCTGGGGTGAGCGAGGCAGAGGATCCTGAGTCCCCTAGACCACGCGATTCTCGCGTACACCCCTGGCTTCCGTAGTGTTTTGGCCTCTTCGGGGAATCTGGGTGTATCGAGGCTGTGCGTGCTTTGCGAAGCGCCACGGCGCGCGGAGCTGAAGTTGCGGGTGTGGCTGGCATGGGCGCAGGATAGGGGCCTGGGAGGTGTGGCTAGGGGCGCGTGTGAGGATGTGCGAGCGGCTCTTCCTAGGTCTGGAGGGTGGGGAGCCGAATCTTCCTGTGGGCGGACGCCCTCTTTTACGAGGGTGCAAGAGCTCGGGGAGGAGTTCCCAGCTTCCTGCTGGGTGGAAAGCTGCTCCAGGCTTTGGGGGGTGCAGTGTAAGAGTGGGGAGCCGCTGCCCACCTTATTTGTCATTTCCTGTCGCGCGTGTGAACTGCTGAGATCGTAGACTACCTAGAAAGCCAGGAAAAGAGAATACAACCCACTTTCGTGGGGATGCGTGGAGTGGAAGGTAGTCCTACTAAAGGGGTGTGTGACACGGAAAGGAAGGGTCGCTCTGACGAGCTCGAGTCCATGGAAAGGTATTCCCCGTGTGCGGGGAGCTGTGGGCCAGGGTCTCCACTCGGTCCGCTGGGGCTCAGCGCCCCAGGACTTCCGGCGTGTTTCTCCTAGCCTTGCACGCGTGGCGCCGTCCGCGCTAGAAGCCGTGGGCGCAGCAGTCAGCAGGGGGCGCTTGCGTCACGGGAGCTGAGTCGCTGGGCCGGATTTGCTCCGCCCGGGATTTCACGGCCGAGCCCAGGCCCCAAGCCGCCAGCGAACTCCGATGGTGGTGACACTGGAAGCCAAGCTTACTGAGGCGGGAGAAACTAGTCGCTGGGGCAGGGGGCGACCTCCCAACCGGAGACAAACAGGCAATTAATTCCGGAGCTAAGTTCCCATCTGCCAGGCCTGCTGACAGCAGGTCCCGCGCACACCTCCGGGGCCTCTGCTTCCTGAGTGCACGTCGTGTTCACACACTTTCGGGCACATGCGTGGCTGCAAAGGCACACGTGTCACTCGCGGACCCGCGGAGACACAGATCCACCTCTGGCACTGCACTTCGGAAGCGCAGATCGCGCGACAGTCGACCACACAAGACAGACTCAAGGAGTGGCAATTACACGTGGAACGCATGGGTGTACTGGGAAAGAGACCTGGAGTCGGAATCCAGGCCCAGCCTTTTCCTCGTTCGTTCTACCTCGCTGTGTGATCTTGGGCCAAACCTTTCACAGCGGCCTCAGTTTCCCCGCCCGCACAGTGAGGAGCGGGTGGGCGTCTCCCAGGAGAGGAACAGAGGCGCATGCGCGCCTGTAACTTGTGCCTGCGCGCCCCCCAGTCCCCCTTCCCCAGCAGGCACTCACTTAACGGGTTCGGGTCTTAGGAGTGGGAGGGGCCCGCGGGAAGGCAGGATTCCCGCGCGGCGGGGCTGGGTGGGGGGGGCCGCACTCCAGCTCCCCGCCCCACGCTCCGCCCCCGGCCCGCCCCGGAGCGCGCCAGCCGCCGCCGCCGCCGCCACCGCGAGGTCTCCGCCACTCATTCGCGCCGCCAACTTCCGAGCGGCGCGCCGGGCCATGGGGGCTTCTCGGGGCCAGATCACGTAGCCACGGCACCCCAGAGCCCGCCCGGCCCCTCCTGCGGCCCGGCCATGGGCGGCCGCGGCGCCCCGCAGTGTGTGGCACCTCCTGGGGTACGCGAGGCCGGGCCGGGCCCGGGGCCGGGACTAGGACCGTGGTCGGGAGGGCGGCGAGATCGGCGGGCGTCTGTTTCGGTCCCCGGGGCGCTGATGATGCTTGCGGGGTGCGCGGCTCCCTCTGCACCCTGGCCGCCCGCGGTGCACGGGGAAGGGGCGCCAGATCCGCGCCGGGCTCTAACTTTAGTGAGAGCGTCGCTCTGGGGCCCGGCTCACTGGGTCCTACTGTGGCGGCTCTTGGCGGCCGGGCTCACTGTCCTCTTGCGCTCCTGTCCCGCAGGTGGCTGAGGGTGGCCCAACCCGCGAGCAGCTGCCACTGCTGGAGGTGTCCCCGCGCAAGAGGCGGCCTGGCGGGCCCGAGCCGAACCCATGCGGCAGCCGTCCTGCGCCCGAGGGAGCAGGGGCAGGAGCAGAGCAGGGGCATTCTGCTGGCGGGGGCGGCTGGTGCCGCCACTGCCACACAAAGCTGGTGGAGCTCAAGCGACAGGCGTGGAAGCTAGTCAGCGGGCCCGGGACACCCCTCCGGGTAAGTGACCCCACTCCAGGCCCCTGAATTTGAGAAACCTTAGGACTTGGAGGGAGGCTGGGTTCTAGCCTGTCCTGTTGCTGCTTGTGGCTCTGAGCCTCAGTTTCCCCTCCAACACGGTGTGTGTGAGTTGGAGCAGCTTGTTTTGGGGTTCAGCTGCAGGTGGGAGGGGTGTGGGCCTGCGTTTCTCTGACAGATGTCCCACAGCTGGAGCCACGCTGTGTCTAGGAGGGGGAGAGGAGCCCGCCTGCAAGGCTTCGGCCCAGAGCAGGGTAGCTCCTGCACCAGCCAGAGGCTCCTTGGGGCCCTGGGTCTGGGCCAGGTGTCTACAGTGGCTCACCTGCGTCAGACAATGCAGAGGGAAGTTGGCCCCCCAGTTGCAGCTGGGGTGTCCCTTCTGGTTCTGGGACCTCTGGGTTTTCCAGGCATAGCCCTGCTAGCAGCGTGCTGGTGGGAGAGGGTTGCTCTGTTGGGCTTTCCGGCCAGTGGGCTTGGCCAGTGGGCTTGTCCGGCTGGATAGCAGGCACCATTGTTCGGGGAACAATGCCCCTGGAAGTTTGCACAGGCAAGGGGGAGGTGAGGGTCGCCAGAGGAAGCTTGTGCCTGCCTGTAGTCTGACTGGAAGAGCTCGGGAAGTCTGCAGAGTACCCATGGAACCTGCATACATTTCTCCAGGAGAGTGTGGGGCCTGGGATGGAGACCCTGAGCTTCCCTGGGCCAGCAGGGTGGGGTGCCAGCCTGCCTTCCATCCTGGGCTCTCTGCAGGGACCCCAGAGAGGGGAGAGAACTGGGGGCCTGTCCTAAGTGCCATTGATGACAGGCTTCTGAGGGCCTATCCTGAAACCGAGGCCGGGAAGTGAAGGAGCTTGACGGACAGCTGCTCTTGCTTTGCCTGTCCTGGTCCTGTGTGGCTCCACTGGGTGCCAGGTGTGGGCTCCAGGTGGAGCTGTGACCCAGGCTCCAGTGGATGCAGGGTCCCCTACCTGGCGTGTCTTGGAGATCTCAGCAGCGTGGCCCCCATTTGTCGCCACATCCTTGAGTTCGGCTTTGACTCCTTCTGTTCCTCTTCAGGGCCGAGGTGGTGGGCTCAGGCCTCCCTGGCTGACCTTGGCACCAGCAGCCCTGGGTCCTGGGCCAGGGCTGTGTGTGGTCCTGACCTTTTCTTGCTGTGTGTGCCTCTGTGTGTGGTGGCCCCGAGGCTGTGCTGTGAGTACCATCCAACTGTGAGGTGCTGCAGCAGAGGAGGGGCTCAGGGCCATCCTGCAACCCCGGGACCCTGGTATGTCCCTGTCAGCTATGTGGCTGGGCCATGACAGTGTCCAGGGTGAGCTGTGTGCTCTTGGGGTGGGATCATGGTGACTGACTGGCTGGGACCCTGTGGGTGCACCCCTGCCCCCCAAGGCCATGTTGACCCCAGGCATCCAGAGCTGGAGTACTGAGGTTTCCCCAGGGTGTCCTGGGGCTGGGCTGGGGTCTGGCCCTGCCATTAGAGCCCTACCAGGTCACTGCTGACCCTCAGTGGCATAAGAGGTCTGGGGGTTACATGACCCAAGGGGTCCCCTCAATCTTCCATGCTTTGCCACTTCTATCGGGCCTGGCAGCCCCATGAGGGCTCTGCTCCCTGTCACAGGGCCACTGTTGGGTGGGCCCAGGTTGTACCTTGGGGACTTTGGGTTGGTATGGCTGAGCTGAGGCCCCTTCCTTTCCTGCTGTGCTCACTCAGCTCCCCGGTGGAGCCCTTGGGAACTCACCCTGTACCGCCACCCCTTCTCCTCAGACCTTGTCTTGTTGTGTGCTTCCTCTGTACAATCCAAGGACACTGCCACTACTACCCTCAAGGTTGCCCTCCCACATCCCTAGCATCCCTAGGTGGGGGGGTGTTCCTGGTGCCACCCTGCTCTGGGCCCCTGCACTCCCTTCCCAGCTGCCCTGGCTCTGAGATGCCTAGAGCCCAGCCTCCTGCTCTGCTGTCCCTGAGCCTCAAGCCTTTCAGCTGGTGTCCACCTCTGCTGCAGTGAGTGGCTACCAAGTTCTAGCAGACCTTGTCCCCACTGCAGTCTGGGGTGTGACTAATAGGCTCCTGTGAGGGAAGGCATGGGGTCCGGGTCACCTGAAGATGTTTGTTGAATGAGTGGCCATGCTGCTGGGGCTGGGTTCTGGCTCTGTGTCCCCAAGGTGGTCCACAAGTGTCACTGCCTGCTGTGACGAGCCTGCATGGGGAGCCCTCCCAGCTGCTGCCTGAACTCATCAGTCATTCAGTGTGGCAACTTTTCCCAAGGCCTGGTGACATTTGAGGTGTCAATACCAGTGCTGAATTGATTATCACTCGGATGGGGAAGTGATCAATTGTCCTTTAGCCTTTGCTGAGGTGGTCTCATCCTCTTGGCCTCTGAGGGCTCTGTGGTGCTGCTGATGGCCCCGGTGCCCATCATGGTGCCAGATGGTTGCTCAGATGGCCACTCAGGTGCAGCTTGGGGTTTCTGTAGGCTTCCCTTGTGCATGGGATCAGCGCTTGGTCTCTGTGACCTGGGCCTGGTGTGTGGTGCCTGGCCTATCACCACCCATGCTGTTGGCCTCAGGGTGAGGCCTGGGGGCCCCAGCAGCTCTCCATTCCCCATCACTTCCTGGTGCCCCTGCCCTGACCGTGCTGGCACTGGGAAGTCCTGGGTCTGCAGCTCCCAGTATCTGATTTGGATGTTTGCCTCCAGATCAGAATCCCAGCTGCGGCTGCGCCCCCCCACGCTGTTTGGAGCCTGGCCTGAGCTCCTTGACGTGCCAGGCCTGGTACCTGCCTTGGGCGCTGCAGGGTGGAGCCTTGGCTCCCTGGCTGCACCCAGGTACCTGGATTCAGTGACACCTGGGGAGGTATGAGAGGGACCGGGGCTCTCTGGGCTCCTGCCAGGGATAGTGACTCAGCTGGGAAGACATCTGGGGCTGGACTCGTGGGGCTTGCGCCTCTAGGCCTTCCAGGGGTCCTCGTAGGGGTGGGAAGGCCTGGGTTGGCTGCTCCCCTGTAGGCTGGTTTGGTGTGGGGTGAGGTGAGAACCTTCCCTCCTGGGCTGGCTTACCTGCTCTGCTGGCCTGGAGATACAGAGTTTGGGGAGATGGAGCCCAGGAATATGGGCAGTGCCCCTCTGATGCTCAGGCTGGGCACCTGGCGTGGTGCATGTGGCCAGGGAGCCCAGGATGTGGTCCTGCCTGAGGTGGGCTTCTGGGTGGAGCTGGCTGAGTGTGGTCACTGCCCTTGCTGCCCTCTGCTCAAGACTGGAAGGCGGCTCAGGGCACAGTACGGTCTGGATCGAGCGAGGCCAGGACTCCCTTGGAGTGTTCTGGGAGGGTCCGAAGTACAGGAAAGGTTAGTTTCTCCTTTGCCCCTCCTGCCTCAAGGCCCACAGCTAACCGCGAAGCTCTGGAAGAAAGGGGGCCTTTCCCACGCATCTGGAGGGAACTGGTCCTTCCTGTGTGTTTTCTCTGTGGCGGTCTCCCGTTGTGCAGTTTTGTTTCTGATTTGTATTGTGTGGCTGCTGGTGTTTGTACTCGATGAGCGATGATCGAACACACAGTGAGATGACCGGAGTGTGTCAGTGTCTGCTGTCTCTTAGCCTCCCACCCCTTCCCTGGGGTAGAGGGCAGAGGCCTTCTCTCCTGCACCTGTCCTGAGCTAGGGCACCTTCCCTGGTGCCCCTTGTGGGCAGGGTGGGCCTGGGGTGCCCCGTGTCCCCTGGGAGGGTTCCTGGCCTTGTGGCCACTTCCCCTGTGGCATCCTGGCTGCTGCTGGGTGGGGTGATGGTTTTGTGTCCTGTGTGGTGGGATCTGGCCTCACACGGATATCCTGCCCCTGAGTGCTGTGACCGCTGGCCTCGGCGGTGGTCAAGCCGCTATGTGTTTCTGGGTGGAGTGTGCTGGGCACTGCCTTGTCCCCCAGCCTTGGCCTGTAGCCACAGCCCAGCTAGGCCTCCCAGACAGGACCCTAAACCCTTCTGCTAGTCCCTAGCTGGGGCTGGGTAGCCTGAACGATTGTCCCGCAGCCCTCCCAACCCTAGCTGCTGGACAGCTGTCCCGGTACAGCTACAAGGCCCTCCTGCCCCAGCATGGACCCTATCCTGTACCACACCTGCTCTGAAATTTGGGGATCTGGCTCCCAGCTGTCTCACTGGTTCTGCTTCTGTGGTGCAAGGACACCCTCCAAAGGGCCATTGGCTGGTGGCAGAGGTTGAGGCTGGGAGTGTGCTCTGTGGGGAGAAGGCATCTCAGCCCCCTGTACCCTCACCCCGCAGTGGAAGTGGAAGGCAGAGCTGTCTCCATGCTGGAGGCAGGGAGTGGCCCAGTGCTGCAGAGGCCTGGGTGCCTGGCGGTGCTGTGTGGCTCCCCGTCCTGTCAGTGACGGGGTAAGCAGTGTGGGAGACTGGCCTGGTCTGTCAGGCCTGGGCCAGCTTGGTGCTGTCCCCTTGGGGGGCCCGGCTCTTGAGCCTGCAGGGGGAGGAGCCTGGGGTAGAGCTGGGGAGCAGTGAAGGCTGCACATCCTGCCATGGTACCTGTGTGTTGCTGATGTGGGGGACTCACACGGTGCCCCAGTGGAGCCACTCCTCCTCGGGAGTCTGCACACTGATGGGTGCTTTGAGCAGGGGCAGCCAAGGCAAGGGTCTGCATGAGAGCAGGGTCCACAGCACCAGCCCAGGGGCCCTGCTTGGACCTGAGCAGCGGCAGCGTTGGGCGGCTGTGCCTTGCAGTGAGGGCCTCACCACCCTCCAGCTGAGGTCCTTATCCCTGAGAGTCCAGTGCTATGCTGGGCAGCAGGTGAACAGAGACACCCGAGAGGGAGGAGTGTCTCAATGACCAGTCTGTGCCTGTGGGTCCAGCTGGGCCGTGCCTGGCACAGGCCTTGGGCTGCACTCCGGTTGGTGCTGGGTGGGCATGGGGAAGGCCTGTGCTGCCAGGAGCTTCGAGCTGCAGTCTGGAGGCCGAGGCCCCGGCTGGAGTGAAACGCCTGGCAGAGTGGGAGGGTGCTGGGCAGCTGAGGCGTGGCTGCCGGTTTCCAGGCTGGAAAGTCAGGCCTGGCCTGTGCCCCCACCCTGCCAGGCTGCAGGAGACCCGGGAACATTCTCGGCTGCCTGGCCTGTGGGTGCAGCTGCTGGGCCTGTAGACAGCCAGGCCCTTCCTGGACCTGTTGTTAACTCCGGAAGCCATGGTGCAGGGTTATGGCCCACAGTGCTTTGTCTGGGAAGGGAAGGGATGAGGCGGAGGGGATGGTGTTCACAGGTCCTTGTGCACACTGATTGGGGGACTGGGTGGAGGGACCCGGGGCTTTGGGGACCTTCGGTCCTGTGTGGCCTTGCCCATGGGTGCTGGGGTCTCTTTTGTGGGGACCCTGGGGGGAGGGGCTCAGAGAGGCTCTCATGCAGCAGGTCTGGAGTGGCTGGGATGTAGGTATGGGACCCCTTCCGGCCCCGGGGCAGGGCTGGGCCAGCTGGAGTCTGATGTGACATCTCTCCTGCTTCTGCCGCTGGGAGAAAATAGAAGGATTACTTACTGCAGCTCGAAAACCCCAGCAAGGAAATAAGAAATGAGAAACCATCATTTCTAAGTTGGGGAGGCTCCCGGAAACCCTCGACATGTGGGGTGCTAAATTGAATCAAATTAAGAAAAACATTTTTCCAAATGCAAGTAAAATATCTGTTTAATTAGACCCTAAAGGAGAAATTAAAAGTCATATTTTGCAGTGGAGTAATTACTATCTCTCCAAGGCACTGACTTCAGAGGGCGGGGAGCAGCCTGTGCTGGGCTTCGGGGTTAAAGTCCAGCGATTGGGCAGTGACTGGTGGTGTGTGCTGAACCCTGAAGGTACAGGAGGCTGGCAGAGCAGGGTGCTGTGGGGACTCCAGCTGGATCCCAAATGTGGAGTCTCTGTGCCGGGCTCTGCTTGTCCTGGCCCTGGAGATGCTGCCCTGGTGTGGGCTGTGCAGTTCTCAGAGACTCAAGCCCAGCTCAGTGATTTTCCCCTCTGGATCCCTTACTGGGAAGGTCACCACCTTGGTGTGTTACCAGGGTCGAGGAAGTGGCCTGGTTGGCCTCAGGCTCAGTGTCCTGTGGGAGTGGGGTAGGCTTGGGTCCTGTCCCAGGAGAGATGCTAGTCCCCAAGGTGGGTTTTGAGTCATAATCTCAGCACTCTGGGAGGCTGAGGCAGGATTGCCAGTGAGCTCAGCCTGAGGAATTTATGCCTTAGTGAAGGTGTCTCAGAATAAAAAGTAAAACGGGCCGACCTGGGTTCAGTACTGACAAAAGAGAAAGGAAGTGGGCTTTGGTTGTGGGCCAGTCTCCTGGGAGGCCGGGCAGCTGCTGGAGTGGCCACGGTGCCTATGTCGGTGAGCACTGAGCAGTGATGGGCAGCGGGGGCTGAGCTCACTGGGCAGCCCTGTCCTGTCCCAGGGCCCCATGTGATAGCCTGAGGCCTGTGCAAGGCCCTTCTTCCGAGGGGCTCACTGCCAGGCCTGGCTGGGGACAGGTCACTTCCCTCACATGTCCCTGGCTGGCCGGTGGAAGGTGGTGCTGTGTGTCTCAGGGTTCCCTGCCCCACCTGCTGCCCACTTCCTTGCTGGCTCCTGCTGTGCGGGCTGTGGAGGGGTGGAGAGGGCTCTCCATGCCTCAGGTCCCCAGGACAGTTGAGTTCCCTGGCAGTCCAGCAGAACAAAGACTGCTGGCCGGGTGGGGCTTGTCTTGGGCCTGCCGGGCCTGTTGGGCCCGGCTAATGGCTGCAGTGGAGCGGGCACTTCCTTCCCTTCACAGCCTCCTGCAGAGTGGAAAAAGCAGTACAGTCAGAGCAAGGGGAAGCCGGCCTGGCTGCCCTTGGGCTGGGGCCCTGCTGGTGGCTGTCTGGGAGGGAGTGGGGGTGGGTGCCTAGTGTGGACCTGGTGCTGGGATGCAGTGGCCGTTTCTAGTGGCTGGGGTGGGGGAATCTCCCTCCTCTGTGGATCTGAGCTCCAGGAATTCCTTCATGGAGGTGGGGGCGGGAAATGCTGGTTGGGACCAGACCTGCCAGGTGCTGCAGAGTTGGAAAGAGTCCAGGCTTCTGGGTAAGCACCACGCAAAGGCCCCCAGTGGCCGGCTGGGTCACCCTTTCATGTGGTCTGTTGTCCCTGGGGCCATGGCTGATGCTGGAGGCGGGGAGGAGGGAGCCTTGCCTTGGGGTTCCCTGCAATGATGGCCACCACCAGGACTCACTGCCCTGAGCCTCCCCCCTGAGCATGGGAACAAGTGTGGGCCACAGGGCAGGCCGAGGGCCCGGTGTCTTGCCTTCAGCTCAGAATGGGCATGTTAGGGGACATGGTGAGCTTTTTGTGACCAAGCATGGAGAGGGGACTCCCTCCAGCCAGCTTGGGAGGGAATCCCAGGCTGGGGTAGAGTCTGGAGACCCCAGGAGACCTGAGAGGAGGCAGGGACCTCAGCCTGCCCAGCCTGTGGTGGGTCACAACGTCCCTGGTTCTCGTGATAGGAAAGAGCTGTGGACTGTTGGTGGGGCCCAGGCAGGAAGCAGGCCATGAGGCCAGCGTGGCCCTGTAAAGGGGAGCAGTGTGGCCCGTTTGGGGGTGCACTGGAGCCTCGGGGTGTCCTCCAGTTGGGTGCCTAGGCCATGTGCGTCCTCTGTGCGGGCTGGATGGACTGCAAGCAGCTGGTGTGTGGTAAGGTTCAGAGAGCTGCTGTCCACATGAGCACGCTGCTTCCCTGAGGACAAGGTCGGTGGCAGGAAGTGCCTGAGTCTGGTGCCAAGTGTGGCCGTGTGCAGGCTCAGTGCATCTCGATGGCCCAGGCGTGTTTTCTGGGGCAAGTTTCTGGTGGGGGACCTGACACTTGACTGCACCTGTCACCTCTGAACCCCGCCTCTGTATCCGTGAGCCTGGGGGGCCTTGATGGGGACCTTGGTGTGTGGTGCTCTGTGTCCTGAGCCCACAGGATTTCAGAATTGGGACTGCTCGTGTCCCTCGTGCCTGCATCTCCTCCACCGTGTCTCAGGACACTCACGGGACCCTGTGGCCTGGGAGAGCAGGGCAAGGCTGGTGGGGCACAGTCCCTGGTGTCCCCTCCATGAGCGAGTCGCCCTCTGGGAAAGAGGCTGCCCCTCAGGGAGCCCTTCCTGTGTTCCACGGTGGCCCCCAATTTCATTTTCCTGCTGGCCGTCCAGGGCTGGCTGCAGACCTGGGAGAGGCTGACCAGGGTCCCCAGCCCCTACTCTGCCAAGTAGGGGGCTGAGGGGCCTGGCGGCTGTACCCACACCAAGGGCCGGTGTCGGGAGCCGAGGCCTGCACGTCTTGTTAGCTGCACGGTTAATGATGGGGGAGGTGGCGGTTATCAAGGGCACTGTGAACCTCACTATTAAGCTCTGATAATTATTTTCCTGCTGGGCTCGTGTGGATGAAGCCGTGTGGGGCTTATTAATCAGTATGGATGGTGCTGAGCGGCCGCATGGTGTGGTGGGGGTGAGGTGCGGGTGGCCAGCTCTCCACATGCTGCCCCACCTGGCCGCTGACTGTGGCTTTGTCCCTTGCTGCCCTCAGGATTCCTGTCTCTCCGCCCTGCTCCTGGATAAGCTCCCGGTGCCCGGAGTCTTGCCCGCATGCCGTCCTGAGGCTGAAAGCAGCTGCGATGCCTGCACCACACACCTGCACCAGCTCACTCGGGAGGCGCTGAGTCTGCTGCAGACCCCTGCCAGCCATGAGGACCCCGACGTCCCCCGAGGAGGCCTTCCACCCCCTAGCCCTGGAGCCATGACCAGTCCCAGGGAGGCACCCACGGGGAGGCAGCCACCGACTCCTCCTGACCGGAGGAAGGGGCTGGCCTGGCAGGCTGGGCCCAGTGTCCAGGTGTCAGTCGCCCCTGCTGGCCTAGGCGGAGCGCTGAGCACGGTCACCATCCAGGCGCAGCCATGCTTGGAGGGCATGTGGAACGTCTCGAGGGCCAGCACCTTCCTGCCGCCAACCTGCCTGGTGAGTGCTGGGCCTGCTGAGGTCGGTGCTGGGCTTCTTCCAGGCTGGGACTTCTGATGCCCTCTGGGTGGGAGTTCCCAGACATTCCTGGTGCCCCACATTGGATCTCCAAGGTAGCCTTCTGCAACCTGTTGGGGACAGCTTGGGCCACCCTTGCCGAGACCACATGTAGTTTGGGAGGGTATAGGGGCAGGTATTGGCAGGAGGAAAGAGCTCTCAATGAGCTCTCAATACCAGGCTGCCCTTAGTAAGTGGCACAGGTTTTCCTGTGGCTGGGTGCAGAGATTGGGGTATGGGGTGAGGCTGAGCCCACTCCAGTGCTGGTCCTGGTCTCTGCAGGGAAGAGAGACAGTGCATGGAGAATGTCCTTCCCCAGGGCACTCTTGGAGCCCACAGAAGGGCCCAGCTGTCCTGGCTGGCTCCGGCCAGCCTGGCTCAGAGACTCACAGTGTTCACAAAGGAGTCTGGGTAAATGGCTGCTTTTTCTGTAGCCCCGAGTGGCTAGCTGAGGTCTCCCCAGCATCCTCCAAACCTCCTCTTTTCCATCCTGAGAAGGCTTCCTGGGACCCTGAGGGTTTGGCTTGGGTATGGGAGTGGCAGGCTTGGCTGTGATGAGCAACCCTCCCCCAAGCCCAGCCAGCCCTCTGTGCACTCCTGCCTGGCACAGATGGCTTCTCTAAGAGGCACTGTGCCCTAACCTGTGACTGTTTGCTGGGAACCAAGGCCCAGCCATTGTGCCCGGCCAGGCTCTCATGTACTTAGCGCTGTGGGTCTGGGGTCAGTAGAGGGCAGAATGGGAGACCCTCGGGCAGAGCCAGGAGGTGTGAGATGCCGAGGGCTGGGCCCATGGGTGCAGGAGATGACAGGAAGTGTGCACGGCCACAGAGAAGCCCCTGTGTGGCATCGCAGGGCCCAGGTGCCAAGGACCTGTGGGTGGCCATGGGCTGTGCCTGTTCCAGGCACCTAAAGCTTGTAATTGTAGGGGCTCTAAAATGAGCTCAGGACCCTGGGCCTCAGTTGCCCTGCTGGTGGCATTTCAGGGGCTGGCGGAAGGGGGCCAGTGGTGCTCAGCAGGCTGGGACTGTGCCAAGATTGCCTGCTGGGGCTGACTTTGAGGCTACTCAGTCCTCAGGCCATGGGTGTAAGGCACTCGGGGAACTCCTGGGCATAGCTGACTCCCATTCACCCCAGGAGTGGCCTCACTGCTGTCCTGGCTGTGAATAGAGCTCTCTGTTCATCACCGAGAGGCCTGACGCTGGTCCCCCGGGGGAGTGTGCTGGGGCAGCAGGCAGCGGCTTCCTAGAGGAGGTGGCATTGAGCTAGACCTCCAATGTCCCTTCCTTTGGTCTCCCAGGCTTGTTGTAGCCCATGGATATGGCTGAGCATGGAGCCATGCCAGGGTTGAGGTTGGCAGTCTTACCTTGATGTGGGATGGGGCCTGGGGGTAGTGGGAAGGGTGTCCCCACCAGCAGCCAGCATGCCATAAAATGTGGGTGGTTAGGGCACCTACTCTCCACTTTATGTGTGCATCGATTATGTTCTGGGTAGGCAGGAATGGATTTATAATTAGGGAATGGGCTAGTAATCAATAGGGAGATTATTAGAACCATAAATAGAACTTCAGAACTCAGATGAGGTGATATCCCTGATCCGGACATTAATTGTTAGTGGTAGCAGTGTTAAAATACTGCCTGTCTGCTCTAGAATGAACATTTCTCAAGTCATGCACTCGGAATACCAGGACTGATCCTTGGTGGGCCCTGACCTCGGTGGGTGGTGGCTCAGCCCTTGCTGTCCTGGGACACAGGGTTTCCCTCTCCGTGAGATGGGGGGGGTGCTGAGTGACTGGATCTGGCTGGGAGGCTGCCCCTGAAGGGCAGAGGGCGATGGCCTGGGGAGCCCGGGCTGGAGCCTACTGAGTGGCCCTGCGAGGCCTGGTGCAGCAGCCCTTGGCGATGCCAACCTGAGTCTGCAGCTGCACGCGGAAACAGCGTGGTGCCTTCTAGGTTGTGCCACCATTGTGTCCAAACGGTCTTGGTGTCACACAGTGGGTCTGGGCTGTGACTGTGCCCTGGCATTGGGACATCCTGTCTCCCAGTGCCATCATGCTGGCATGTCTGGGCAGGCAACATGGCGGCCACATCACTGTCAGCTCTAGCAGGTGGGCAGGGGCACTGTGCACACTTCCAGGGCAGTGAGGTCTGAGGAACAGGGTTCTCCCCTGGCACTGGCCCAGGGCTCCTGAAGGGCTGCCAGGTGTCCAGGACTCGTTGGGGGGCAGGGACAGGGGTTTCGCTGTGCCCAGGCTTGGCTCTCAGATGCAGCTCCCTCACCCTAGCTGGGCCCCTGGTGCGAGCCTCAGTTTCCCTGCCTGTGGAGTGGGGGTGGGTAGGACTGCCCATTCTGGGGGCCTCTGGGTAGGGAGCCTGGGCCTTCGTGGGTGGGTGATTCTGCCTTAAGCCCTGGCTCTGCGCCCCTCAGCACCTCAGGAGCTGTGCGGCATTTGTGGGCATGGCTGGTGGACGCCGTCTTCCCTGGGCGAATCCTGGAGCGAGGGTCAGCCTAGAGGGCTCCCAGGAAAGGCGAGTGTGCCGTTTCCCACACAGTGTTCCTGGAGCCCTGGTGTTTCGGGGAGCCAGTGGTACCAGCGACGTTGGCTCCCCTGAGGCAGGGCGGTGGCACTGGCGGGCAGTAAGCAGTGAGAGCTTTCCTGGCTGCGCCCAGCCATGACCGGCCTCACGCTCTCCTCTCTCCTGTTTTCCTTTCGTTGCTGCTGTGGCGCCTTCCATCTCGCTTTCTGTTGGCCGCCCCCATCCCACGTGTGGTCCCTCCCTCCCGCCCCACCTCTCGCTTGGGACGGCTTCTTTTGGCATGCTTGGGCTCTGCTTCTGGCAGGAATTGGCAGTGGCCGTCCCGGTGGTCCGAACCGTGGGACGGTGGACGCGGCTGGTGCGGGATTCCTGAGACAGGTCAGTGCGAGTGGCCAGCGGCCGCAGGTGGCTCCATGCGGCGGCTGGAGGTGGAGATGCAGGAGGCCATGGCGGGTGGTCGGGCCCTTGGGCGTGGATGGGGTCGTGGGGCGGCTCTGGCCCTGCCAAGACCCCAGTGGCCTTATTTCATACCTGTAGGTAGCAGGGAGCGGGGTTGGGCTGGCTGGCCCTGAGTGGTGCCATCCTGGCTGTGCCCAAGCACCTCCTATTTTCTAAGAGCAGCTGGGCCTGACTCTGCGTCTCAGACTGCATGGGCCACCTTGTGACTTTCAGATCTGTCCTTTCCCAGGCTGCTCTGTCCCTCACAGGTGTTTAGGTCTTTCCCAAGGAACATGCATTGACAGGAGAGGAATTCTCGTTCAAGGTGGAGCAGGCCAGGCTGGGTTCTGAGAGGTGCACAGGAGTTCCTGCCCCATAGGCAGGGGGTGGGCGTGGTGTGCTGTACCCTGCCAGGTTTTGCTAAGGCTGTAGGTCCACCCTCTGCTGCAGCTAACTCTTAGTGCTCATAGCCCAGGGCTAGGAGCACCGGCCTTCCACAGGCCTGAGCTCGAGGCCGGCCGTGGGTTTCTTTCTGCTCACTGTCCTGAAAGGGCTTTGGACTCTGGCGCTGGCCACAGGCTGGGGAAGTCACACATACCGTGGTGGGGGAGTTGCTGATGATGGTGATGAAGGGTCCCTGGGGCCCGGGGACTTTTTCTGTAGCAGTGTGCCCATAGTTTAGACTCAGTAGCATCCTACGCTACCAAAGGCAGGGCAATTAGCACCTGGACCAGATATCTACTGTGGCTTCTTGTCCAGTGACAACTCTGGGGGCTCTCAGGCTGCCTGGGACATCGGGGCATAGAGCATTGGACCTCTGCAGTCACTGTGTCTTGAGCACTTGGTGAGAGGGCCAGGAGCTCAGGCCCTGGTGTGTGTGTGTATGTCCCCCTTCCCCTAAGCTGGAGACTTGGGTCTTTGTGTCTTGCTGGCGTCGCCTGGCCTTGATTAGGGGCCCTTCCCAGTTGTACCTGCAGCATCCCCGGGGCTGAGGAGTGTGTGAGTTCTGGGGTGCACGGCTTGTTTCCTGAGCTCCTCGTGCCCAGTGCAGCGGGCACCTCTGCCCAGCCATCTGTGCTTCACGTGGCTTCTCTTTCCTCCCAGGCTGAGGCGGCGGTCGCAGCTGTGGCAGTGGCAGACTCTGTCCGAGACAGCGCCTCTGCAGTGGGCCCTGATGGTGTGTCCAAGGCATGGGGCCGGGCAGGGGCCTGCACATCGGCCCTGGTCACCCCAGCCCCTGGCAGCTCAGCAGGGGGCTCCACAGGTCCCTCTGCCGCAGCCTCCTTCTTCATAAGGTACGTCTCAGGGCTGCGGGGAGCATGTGTAGGGGACAGGGTGCCCCGGGCCCATGGGCTGGCGTCTGGTGGCCTGAGGCCGTGCTTGCCAGAATGGTGACTTTGCCTGTTGCCTGGTGGAGTGGGTGAGCAGTGCAGGGATGCAGCTGCCCCATATGGCTCTACCTCCAGTCCACTGGCCTCCTGGGCACCACTCAGGGAAGTCTGGTCCCTTGGACCTCTGTCCCAGGCCTGAGCTCAGGGTGCTAGGGAAGGACAGGGCACGGCTGGCATGCTCCCAGCACCTGATGCTTGGTATCAGCTGGTGTGGGTGAGGGTCCCATGGATGCACAGAGGCCTGGGTGTCATGCGTGGAGGGGAGCTGTCCCCTGCCTTACCGAAGGAGGCAGCCCAGCAGACAGAGTCCTTGGCTCTACGGCCCCAGCCCGGCCCCCTGCTCCCACCCCAGGGGGGCCTGGGGCTGTGGATTACAGGATGTAATCATTGTAATGAGTGGTAATGGTGAGCAGCTGTGGGTCACTGTCCCATTAGCAGCCAGTGTGGGTGCTGATAAGCTCATCCCTGGATCACCAGGCATCGAGGTGGGAGGAGGGTGTCTTATCAGCAGGCCTGGGGGCTGCGGGGGGCTGCTGGAGAGACTGGGCATGTGATGAGGGCATTGTCCCCGCTCAGGGACAGCTCCATACTGCACGGGCTTCCCACCACCAGGCTGGCTCCCGCTGCCACCCCAGTTAGGAGCAAGGAGCCAGCTGGCGCCCAGGGGATAGTGGAGGTCAGCAGTGTGTCCCTAGGTGGGGGCCAGGAGAGGCAGACCTCCAAGCTGCTGGCTGTGACCCCCACACCCTGAATCCCCACTTCTGTGACTGTCCCAGGACTCCCAGGCCCAGCATGGCAGGAGGATTTGAAATGGGACCTCTGGAGAGAAGGAGCATCTTGGGGGCCAGTTGAGCCGGAGGCCCACTGGCTGAGAGGTTCTTGTTGCAGGGGAGAGGAGTGCTGGCTGGCAGGGCCCCCCATACACCGACTCATTAGCGGCTCGGCTGCCTTTTGTCTGAGCCAGGCTGGTGCTGCTCCTGCCTGTACCATGCCTCTGACCTTGGGACGTTGCCATAGAAACGAAGAAACAAGAGCTGGGCGGTGAGGCAGGTTTTCACCGGCTGCCCCCTCACTGCCCCGCCCCAGTTACCCAGCTGGGCACCCTGAGTCACTGCTGGGGGAGGGGAGGCATGTGTGGCCCAGTTGGGTAGGTGTCCCGGCAGGCTACCATGCCCCCAGTGAGCCTTGGGCTGGGATCCTTAGCCAGCAGGGGTGAATGTGAGGGGGGCTTAGGAGCTACCCGGCTGTCAGGGGGCAGTGGGCTGTCTAGAAGCACTGAGGGACAGTGGGGCCAGCCCCTGGCCCGGCACACGTGCCTGTGCCTGGCTGTATTCTGTGTCCGCCTCCTCCTGCACCCCAGGACCCAGATGGCCCTTGCCTTGGGAGCACTGCTAGCGGCTCCTGTGAGCTGGGCTTTGACGGCAGTGGGGCTCTGACAGGGGTCCATCTCTGTGCTGTGGTTGTGAGGTGGGCACTGAGGCTGGAGTAGGAGCCTAGCAGGTGCCCATCAAGCGGGCAGAGTGGCTGCTGGTGGACTGGGAGAAGGTGCTCGGCTCACACTGGTATGCAGATGCCTGGCATAACCAGCCATTTGGGCTTCTTGTCAGCAGGGTCTCAGAGGTGCCATTGCAGGGTCCCCAGGTGGCCTGGTGTGGTTGAGGTCTGTGCTGCAGACCCCTGGCCCTGGAGGGCACAAAGGGGCAGAGCTGGCCTTGCTCTGGACCTTGCACCGTCTGCTGTGCCTTTGGCCACTCACAGTCCTCCCAGTCTCTGTGCCTGCACATTAGGGGTGTGGTGTGTGGGTGCAGGGGTGCTGCCACCATGGCAGGCCTAGCCCTGACCCTACGACATAGGGTCCCCTTTGAGGGCCAGTGCCCAGTAGGTACTGCGAGTGCCCTTTCCTGAAACCTGGGTCAGGCGTGGCCCCCATTTATAGCTCGAGCCTGTGTAAGGGGCCTCCTTGTTGGTCTGGGTGGGGCAGGGCTCCTGCCCCTCATGAAACCTTCTGTGGGTTCTGAACTCGGCAGTACCAGATGGGCACGGTGGGCCTGACTTGTCTGTCCTCCAGTTCTCGGAGGCAGCCTGCAGCTTCTTTCTAGCTAGGCTGTGGGAAGCCACGGGCCGTGGGGCATAGGCAGGGAGAGCCTCCGGCCTGTAGCCCCTCCCCCTCCCTGTTCCCTGGAGTCCCTACCACTTCCGGGGCCATGTCCTCTGGACTTCTCAGGCTGCGGTTGGTGAAGCACTGCCTCTTTCTGCCCGTGGCTTCCTTGCCATGTGTGGGATGTGCCAGCCCCTGGCTCCGGCGGGAGGTGCAGTGTCATGGGCTCACAATGCCCAGTGAGGTCTGAGGCCCAAGGCCAAGGGTCTGTGGGTGCAGACACCAGAGACCTTTCAGGCCTGTGACTTCAGCCCTACCCGGCCCATCCCTGAAGGGGGCATCCGCTGTGACTCTGTTCTGGGCTCTGCCACACGTCGTAGATTACTTTTATTCTCTGTGATGACACCTCGAGAGAAAGAAGCCATCCCAGGGGCCTCTTAAAGGACAACTCCTATTAACGTTGAGCGGAGTTAGCAGAGTGTGCAGTAGACCTCGCCTCTGTGGTGGGGAGGTAGGGGGAGGGCTGCCGAGAAGTACCCCCAGTCCTTCTTACGAGGCCTGGGGGCTGGGTGGAGGCAGGCACTTTAGACTGGCTGGAGGGGCAGCTTCGGGCTTTTCTGTGGGGAGGAGGAGGCTGTCCAGGAGCAGGGTCTGCAGGGCCACAGGTGTGCTCCGGAAGGCAGTGCTCTGGAGCGTGGCCCAGCTCAGCTCCCTGCAGTGGGAAGGAGATTTTGAGGGAACCCTTGGGAAAGGTTGGGGCCAGCAGAGCATCAGCTTACAGGAGGGCCCCAGCCTTGGGGCCCAGATTGTGTGTGAGCCTGGATGTATGTACACATGTGTGCCTGCGTGTTACCCGGGTAAGCAGGTGTATGTGCCTCACGTGTGTGTGCGCATGCGCTGGGATGAGGCCGTCCCTTCCCTCAAGCAGAGCAGTAATTGTGATGGTAGCATCAATTAAGCTCCTCTGAATGTGTTCACTCATGAGGGCCCCTGGGAGTCACTCCCCTGTGTTAGAGATGGGGAAACCGAGGCACAGGGAGGCTAAATTAATATGCTTGGGTTCTGCTGCCTGCAAGAGGCTGCTGTAGCCTATGCACTTGCTTTGTCTGCCTGGCCTCTCTGTGCCCTGCCTGCCCATGTGCCAGGCAGGGCTGCTGGGAGGGGGGAGGTGGTGACCAGGGACCCCACTTGGAGAAGTATGCGTGGCTGGGCAGTCATAGTTCTGGCTATGTGGTGTGGCTAGCAGACCTGGGGTGGGAGGACCTGGACAGTGCTGGGCCTAGTGAGCTGCTCTCTCCACCCCAGGGCTGCCCAGAAGCTCAGCCTGGCCAAGCGCAAGAAGCACCACCCGGCACCCGCCCCCACACCCCGAAGTGCCTCTGCCTTCCCCACCGACTTCAGCGGCATCCTCCAGCTCTGCCCGCCTCCGGTGCCGCCCTGCCTGCTCAGGGTCGCCTCCAAGGCCAAGGACAACCCAGGCAGCTTCGGAAAGGTAGAGCTGGTGCAAGACTGGGTGACTCTGGGAGGGGACCCAGGGCTCAGAGAAGGTGGCGGAGGAAGAGGGGCCTGGTTCATTCTCCAGGCCGGACGAGGCTGGTTGGAGTAGGGACAGAAAGGGAACCAAGCCCAAGGAGGGACGGGGAGCCTGGGGTACAGTGTGGGGCTGGGCTGAGGGAGACAGGTCCTCGGAGCACCTTGGGGACCTGGGAAGTGCCTGTACCCAGTCTGAGGTCTGCAGAGGGGGGAATTATGGGATTGCCCCAAGGGGGTGGGCTCTAGTGCCCGGGGAGGGTGGGCAGCCAGGGCTTGCCCTGAATCTTTCCCTGGGAGGCGTAGGGTTGGGCTGCTCTCTGCTGCCCAGTGCTGTGCAGGGAGTACTAGCCCTATGGGCTTCCAGCTGCACAGATGGTCAGCATGGGCCATGGCTAGCTCCCCGGGGCTGTGGCACCCAGGATTGGGGCTGGAGAGGAAGCTGGGATGCTGGGAGAAGCCCACGCCTGACCGGAGCTTCACAGCTGTGGCTTGGGTAGTCTCTCCTCCCCCATCACCTCTTGTGGCCCTGGACCAGACTCACAGTCATCTCTGGACATTTATAGAGCCAGGATTGCTGCTCTTCCTGCCCAGGCTATGGGGATCGTGTTGGGGTCCAGAGCAGGACCAAATGGGCCAGGCAGGGCCTTAAAGCTCTTCAGGCCTGGGTCCCCCCCTGCATCCCAGAACATTGACTGGGGGTTGAGGCTGATTCACCTGGCTCCTTTCTGCATGGGGAACTCACTCATCCCTGTGGCTTTCTTGGGAGCCTGGGCTGGCAGTGGCCTGTGGTGGTGGTGGTGGGGACCACAGCTGTGCCAGGCTGGGTGCAGGCAGCTGGCAGTAAACCCCATAGCTTTCCAGATTCAGGGCATAGAGCTGGCCCAGTGAGCTGGCCCAGTGAGCCTCTTCCAGCTGCGTAGATCTGCAGTCATCTTCCCCTCAGGCCCAGGTCACCACATCTGTCTCTGGGTCCTCACATGGACATTGGGAGCCCTGCCTCCTTCCTGGGCTGCTCAGCCTAGGGGTTGGGGCCAAGGGTGGTGCCCTGCTCCCTGGTGAGGTTCCTGCCTGCCTTAGGAAGGTGCTGGGGTAGCAGGTGGCTCTGTGCTACTGCCACTTAAGATAATTCATCATAATGCGGACAGGGGGGAGAGAGGGCTGTGCCCCCAAGTGCTTGCCTGCCACCATGGGTGTGGGCTGTGTACCTGCAGGATCCCCCCCTTGGGGGGGGGCTGTGAGCAAGAGGGAGGTGGGCCGAGGTCTGACCCTTAAATAGAGGCAGCCTCCCAGAGCAGGGTACACAGATCAGCTGGCCAGATGGCTGCTGCCCAGGGTTTTGTGGGGCGTGGGGCTAGGATGGGGCCAGGGACAGCAGGCATCATGACCTGGCACTAGCATCCTGCTCTGGCCTCTGCTGGCCTGGATACTTAACCTGCTGGTGTCCAGGCTTTTCCACTAGAGCATGATGGGTGCAGGACAGGGCTGCCTTTGGTTGGCAGAAGCACTGTGCTCAGCGGGACCCCACCGAGGTCCAGCTGCGCTGTCACAGGGGCCTGGGGCTAAGCCCACCCAGGTGTTCCTACAGGGCTGTCAGTCTCTGCTTCACCAGGCACAAGGCCCTTTCCTCCAGCCTCTCAGTCTCCGCCTCCCGGTGCAGCCCCTCCTCAGCTGAGAGTGTGATTAGCACTAATGTCCCATAGTCAGAAATGCCTCTTGAAAGGCGTTTAATATTGTCACAGGGAAGAAGTTAGATTGCGCTCAATTTCTGACATTAATGTGCTACTTAAGATAATTCATCATAGTGCAGCATTAAGAAAGATGTTCCTTGCAGGGAGGGTGCTGAGCTGCACCCTCCCTCACACCTCCCTTGGCCACCTCGGGGAGCTGGAAGCCCTTTTTTCTATGCAAAATGTGTTTTTCCCTTTCCAGCTTTGTGATATCTGCACATTTGCGGGGACTCAATGAGCTTGTCTCCTGTGAAGACCCTGTCATTTCCCATGGTAATGACAGGTTCTGTGGCAGCAGACAGCGGCCCGGTGCTGGGATGGGGGCGGCAGAGGGCGGCCTGGATGGCCACTGCTGGCCAGGTCCCCTCCCTATGTGGCTGCGGGTCAGTCTGGGATTAGAGGTGGTCATCAGACCTGCGAGCTGCGTCCTGGTTCTCGTGGTCTTTCCTCCCTGCCAGGAATTCTCTCAAATCTCCAGAACCATTTGGCTCCTGAAGTGGTGGGGAGTTCACACTGGAGAAAAATTGCTAGAAATTACCTGGAAGTGCACATTTTAGTCTGCTTTGCAGCGGTGTTTGGAATGGAATAGTTTTGTTCATGCCGTCGGGGGAATAAAAGAATCGATTCTCGCCTGGCGGAGCTCAGGTCCTCCACAGCACAATAGCGGAGCTCTTCCACCCTCTCCCTGATGTTGGGGGCGGGGTGGGGTCTGCGCGTCTAGGCGCTCACGCCTGGGGGTGGGGGTGGCACTTGTGCACCCTACCTTGGTAAACCAATTTCACCAGCGTTACATATCTGTCACTTACAATTAAACGCGTGAAAAATATTGGCTCTGAAATGAGTCTTGGGTAATATAATTTACACTGACATGGGGACATCAGAAGTCCTCAGAGAGTGGACAGCAGTGTCCTCCAGCAGAAGGTGGAGCTGGTGCCCAGCTGGGAGGAGCCCTGACTCGAGGTGCTGTGAGAGTAGCACCTGGTCACCAGGTTCCCCCACCAGGTGGACCCATTCTCAGCACAGGCTTGGGGTGTCTGCCCTGGCCTGGCTCCTGGGTCCCACAAGCCCTGTGGTGCCTCCATAGAGCACATTTGGGGCTGCACCTTTGGTCCTGCTGTGAGCCCGGCTGACTGCCTGCCACCTGCAGGGCTCAGACCCACCTTCATCCTGCCTGCCCTGGCCCCCCCACCCTTCTGGGACCTCCCTAGCTCTTTAGACTCCTCCCCCGGTGTGGCTTCTTCACTTGCCATGTGCAGCTGCGCCTGCGGTCTCCTGGCCCCTGAGGGCCCTGATGGGCCTTGGCCAGGGGCTGGCACTGCTGGAGAGGAAGGCCCGGGGTGACCCTCCCCTCTCAGCCTGCTTCATGGATCCCAGCACTCCTCTGCTCCCAGGAGTGTCTGGAGCCTGCTGTCCCGTCTGTCCACCTGGGACTTCGTGTTCTCTCTGCCCGCTGACCTCATGGAGATCTGCTCCAGCCGCATTCCTGCCATGTCGGTGCCCACGCCGAGGCCTGCTCCGCTGCCCCAACTCGCGCTGCTCCTCCTGCCCTGTAATTAGTGGCCAGCTGGGCGGGCGTGGTGCTCAGAGCCCGCTCTCCCGCCCCAGGTGAAAGTCATGCTGCGCATCTGGCCAGCACAGGGCGCCCAGCGTTCAGCCGAGTCTGCGTCCTTCCTGAAGGTGGATTCCCGGAAGAAGCAGGTGACCCTCTACGATCCAGTCGCTGGGCCCCCGAGTGGTGTGGGCCTCCGACGTGCGGCCACAACAGCCGTTCCCAGGATGTTCGCCTTTGATGCTGTCTTCCCCGCAGATTCGGAGCAGGTAACAGACAGCGTCTGGGCGTGAGGGGGAGAAGGACCGAGGCAGCCAGGCACCTGCCGAGAGGCCCCGGGGTCTCTGCCCCACCCTGGGAAGCCTCTGAGCTGCACTTTCCCATCCTGGACTGGGGCTACTGCTCCTGACCTCAAATGCTGCACATGGCATGACCGAGTCTGGGTGCTCTGTGCTGTGTGCTAGTGTGTCCATGGCAGCAGCAGCAGCAGCAGCTCTGTGGTGGGGTGTGCACACGTGTATTATGGTTGTGTGTCTGCACACTTACCTTGTGGTGTTTGCACAAGTGTGCTTGGTGTACATGAGCGTGCACAGGTTGCTGTGGGCTGTGTGTACCCACATGTGTTATAGGGGGTGTGCACCCAGGCGTTAAGGATGTGTGTCCTTGTGTGTTATGGGGGTGTGCCCATGTTTTCTGCCACCAAGCAGTGTGTGTCATGTGTTTCACGTGTGTCTGCACGTGTTCCTGTGCCTGTCCCAGGGGCTGGTGGGCTTTGGGTGAGGGGACAGACAGGCCTGGGCTTACAGGAGGGGAAGGTGAGGTAGCTGCAGCCCCCCACCCTGGCCTGCCTAATGCCAGCTCCCCCCAGGCTGAGGTCTGCTCGGGGACTGTGGCTGATGTGCTCCAGTCTGTGGTCGGCGGGGCCGATGGCTGCATTTTTTCCTTTGGCCACACGAGCCTTGGTGAGTACCCCATCACCCGTCCTGACACCCCCACTGCCACCCTCACTGCTGAAGTCGCTGGGCCCTAGGGCTGGTTGGTGAAGGAGGACGGTTGTCATGTGGGTGCAGGGGCTTCATGGAGGGGATGTGAAGCCTGTAGAGAAGGCAGAGGCCTGGACAAGAGCCCTGGGCAGGGCTGGGCATGGCCCTCGCAGGTCTGGCTGGGCTCTGAGGGCTTGCGTGGCCCCAGAGTGGCCCCTCATGTGTGGTGTGGCCCCCAGGCAAGTCATATACCATGATCGGGAAGGACAGCTCTCCCCAGAGCCTGGGCGTGGTGCCCTGCGCCATCTCCTGGCTCTTCCGCCTGGTGGAGGAGCGCAGGGAGAGGACAGGCACGCGCTTCTCCATCCGCGTGTCAGCTGTGGAGGTGTGTGGCCGAGACCAGAGCTTGCGGGACCTGCTGGCCGATGTGGCCTCCAGCAGCCTCCAGGACACCCAGTCTCCGGGCATGTACCTGCAAGAGGACCCGGCGAGTGGGACACAGGTGCACCAGGGTCACCGTCCTTGTTGGCTCCAAAGGGTGGGGGGTGGGGGGTCATGTTGGCCCTGAACCCTCAAAGCCACAGTCTCCTCTGCCTCCTGCAGCTGCAGAACCAAAGTGAGCTGCGGGCACCCACAGCGGAGAAGGCGGCCTTCTACCTGGACGCAGCATTGGCCGCCCGAAGCTCCCAGGCTGGTGGGGAGGATGGGGGCCAAGGTTCCCACCTGCTCTTCACGCTGCATGTCTACCAGTATCGAGTGGAGAAGTGTGGCCAGGGGGGAAGTGAGTTTTGCCTGCTGCTCCTAGGGGTCCTGGGGGGCCGCTTCCCAGGGCCACACCATCACCACTGCGTTGCTTTCCAGTGTCTGGAGGCCGCAGCCGCCTGCACCTCATCGACCTGGGCAGCTGTGAAATGGTGCCTGGCCGGGCCGAGGAAGTCGCTGGGGGCTCCCTGAATCTGTCCCTGTCGGCTCTGGGCAGTGTCATCCTGGCTCTGGTCAATGGGGCCAAACATGTGCCCTACAGGTGAGTGTGGGCACCGAGCAGGTGGCACCAGGACAGACCCAGGACTCGGGGTGCAGCTGGCCTCCCTGTTGTCCAGTCTCCCTCTCTGATGGTGCCCCTTCTTGGTCCCAGGGATCACAGGCTCACTGTGCTGCTGCGGGAGTCCATAGCCACCACCAGCTGTCGTACCACTATGATTGCCCATGTGTCAGATGCGCCGGCCCACCATGCCGAGACGCTGAGCACTGTGCAGCTGGCTGCCCGCGTCCACCGCCTGCGGAGGAAGAAGGCTAAGGTGGGGCCCTGTGCTGCTGCCCATGTTGCCTGCCCAGGCTGCTGTGTCATCCGCAGCATGGTAGGAGATGCTATGTGGGGTTTTTGGGTCCCTAGACCCCCACAGACCCTGGAGCAGTGGGACATTGGCACCACCCTGGCAAGGGGCTTCCTAGGCACATTTCACAGGGCCTGAGGGTGGACTTAGGGGCAGTTGCAGGCCAGACCGCCTTAGGTCCAAGTTGTCCGTCTTCTCTAGGGGCCGAGTGCAGGGCTCTGTACAGTTCTCTGTACTGGCCCAGGTGTGCTGTGGCCCCTGCCGTGGTGACACTGCAGGGACCCTGGCATGTGCTGCTGGGAGCAGGTGGGAGTCGGGCCGAGCTGGCTAGAGGCAGGGGTGCTCACAGGTCCCATGCTGCTGCTTCCCCAGCACACGTCCAGCTCCTCGGGTGGGGAGAGCTCCTGTGAGGAGGGCCGGGCCCGCCGCATCCCCCACCTGCGGCCCTTCCACTCACGTGCAGTGGCCCTGGACCCTGACCGCCCAGTACCCAGACTGCCTGGCGACCCTGACTACTCATCCAGCAGCGAGCAGTCCTGTGATACCGTCATCTATGTGGGGCCAGGTGGGATGGCGCTGTCAGACCGTGAACTCACTGACAACGAGGGCCCTCCAGACTTTGTGCCCATCATCCCCTCCCTGAGCCGTCGGCGGCCCTCTGAGGGCCCCCGAGATGCTGACCACTTCCGCTGCAGCACATTTGCAGAGCTGCAGGAGCGGCTGGAGTGCATTGATGGCAGCGAGGAGCCCCCCAGGTCCCTGGGCAGCAGCGACAGAACCCAGGCCACCCCAGCCCGGGGAGGTGGGAAGCTTTTGCTGCCTGAGGCTGCATCCCCCAGGAAGGCCATGGGCCCCCCAATGGCAACCAGCACCCCTCGAGGCAGCCCTGGCCCGGACACCCACCAGCCCATCCCTGAGCCTTCCAGGGCTGGTGCCCAGGGTGACCAGCAAGAGAATGACAGCTACCAGGGTGAGCCACTGGCCCTGGACAAGGCTGTGAGGGTCAGAACCCGGAATTTGCTGCCCAGCTCAACCCCTCTGGCTCCCAGGGAGCTGGAAGCCCTGGGAGCCCCTGTGGAACTCGAGGGAGAGAGCACTGATACAGTGGTGCGGACACCTCCTGTGGGCACGAGTGGGCAGGGGCAATTTCCGCTGGCTCCAGACTCAGTCTGTCCCTGCCCGTCTGCACGAGGCTGTCGCCTGGAGCGGGGCCTGCTGACCACCACAGTGACCCTGCAGCAGCCGGTGGAGCTGAATGGTGAGGATGAGCTGGTGTTCACAGTGGTGGAGGAGCTGCCCCTGGGGGGTCTGGCGGGCGCCACACGGCCCTCCAGCCTGGCCAGCTTCGGCAGCAACTGCTCCCTGCAGGCCCTGGCCTCAGGCTCGAGGCCAGTCAGTATCATCAGCAGCATTAACGATGAGTTTGATGCCTATACCTCCCTGGCCTCTGACGGTCCTGGAGCACCACTGGAGGGGGCACCTTGGCCAGGAGGCAGCCCTGCCTCCTCTGTTGGCTCCTGGCTCAATGAGGTTGGCGTCTGTACGGCCACCAGCCTCAGCCCCATACCACAGCCTCCCTTCAGCCCCAGTGTGCTAGTGGGGACTGGGCCTCCAGAGCCCTGTGTCTGGGGTAACCCCCTGGACAGTGGTGTCCGGTCTGTGGCACAGGGTGGGCCTGATGGCTCTTGCTCAGTCCGGAGTCCTCGTGCTAGAGAAGCAGCAGGCCTAGCCCGAGCTGGCCAGGAGCCCTGGGCGGGGTTGTCACAGGGTACTGCTGTGGGCCAGACCCTCCACTCCAGCCTTCCCCGCAAGCCCAGAATCCCCTCTGTGGCCAGCCGTGTGGCTTGTGCGCGTCCTGGCCGGAGCCCACCCAGCCCCGGAAGCCTGTTTGAGGACCCTTGGCTGCTCCGTACAGATGACTGTGCTGCCCCTAGCCCTACCCCAGGACCCTCCCGGCTTTCTGAGGCCCAGACAAGGCCAGCTTGTGCCCAGAGGGTAGTGGATGGCTGTGCGATGGTGGGCAGGGTGGGCCGTAAGCCTGAGGCTGTGGCTTGGATCCCACCTCTGCGGCGCGGTGCCACCACCCTGGGGGTGACCACACAGGCTACGTCTAGTGGGGACCCTGTGGCCGAGGCGACCCCCTGCTCCACCAACCTGAAGGGCTCCCCTGGCAGCAAGAAAAGCTTGGCATCCAAGGGGGGCTTCTTCCCGAGGCCTAGTGGGGCGACCCCCCCCACCCCTCCTGTGCGCAAGTCCAGCCTAGAGCAAAGCAGCCCAGCCCAGGCCCCCGTCCTGGCTGTAGGCCCCACTCGAGCAGGCGCTGCCTCAACATTTCGTAGGGAGGAGGAGGCCCGGCCCAATGGCCGTGCTGACCATGCCGTTCCTAAGGCCACATCCAGCCTCAAAGCTCGGGCAGGCAAGATGGAGGTGGCCCATCGTCCTGCCGGCCACATGTCCCTGGAACGGTATGAGGGCCTGGCACATGGCAGCAAGGTCCGGGAAGCCCCTGGACGGCCGCCTCGGTCTGTACCCAGGCTGGGTGTGCCACCTGCCAGTCCCACACCCGGGCTGTCCCCTGCCTGCCGGGGCAGCCCTGTTAAGGCCACAGGAGCCCCCAAACCCCCAACTGGAGGAGCCAAGGGCCGCAGTCCTGTGGCCAGTGGCTCTCGGGCTCTGGGTGGGTCCGTGAAGTCCCTGGCCCCGGTGGCTGGCAGGTCCCCTGGAGGCCCTGGAACTGGTCCCCGAGTGGCCCCGAGGGCTGCCCCTGGCCTTGGGGCTAAGGCTGGCCGGGGCACCATCATGGGAACCAAACAGGCGCTCCGGGCTACACATAGCCGTGTACGAGAGCTGGCGGCCAGCGGGGTCCCTGGCAGAGGCAGCCCCTCATGGGGCTCTGCGGACTCGGACAGTGGCAATGACAGTGGCGTGAACGTGGCAGAGGAGCGGCCACCTGTGGGCCCCGCCCTGCCGTCCCCCTACAGCAAGGTGACGGCGCCCCGGCGGCCCCAGCGGTACAGCAGCGGGCACGGCAGTGACAACAGCAGCGTGCTGAGTGGGGAACTCCCGCCTGCCATGGGCCGCACGGCGCTTTTCTACCACAGCGGCGGCAGCAGCGGCTACGAGAGCATGATGCGGGACAGCGAGGCCACCGGCAGTGCGTCCTCGGCCCCCGACTCCACGAGTGAGAGTGGGGCCGCCTCCCTGGGTGCCCGCTCCCGCAGCCTCAAGTCCCCCAAGAAGAGGGCCACAGGTGGGTGGTGGGGGCTCCTCGGGCAGAGCCCTCGGCAGCTTTCCCTCAGTCCAGTGCTGCCTTGCTTGGAGCCCGTTGCTCCCTGGTGCTCCTTGAGTGTCCCAGCTGCCTGGAAGTCTGTGCCAGGACTGCTGGGGGTGGGGGTGGGAGTGGGGGCAGCAGTCTGGCCTCTTCCTGTCCCGGGGTGGTAGTGGCCAGGAGGATCTGAATGAGCTGTGTGACCATCAATGCTGCAGAGCTGTCTGCAGGGGCAGTGGGGGTGGCCGTCCAAATGCAGGTGACCAGGTCTGGGAGTTGGGACCCAGAGTACCCGATCTCTGCTCACCTACACCTGGTCCCGAATTTCAGGGATGCAGCGCCGGCGGCTGATCCCAGCCCCACTGCCTGATGCCACTGCCCTGGGCCGCAAGCCCACCCTGCCCGGGCAGTGGGTAGACCTGCCTCCACCTCTGGCTGGTTCCCTGAAGGAGCCCTTCGAGATCAAGGTGTATGAGATTGACGACGTGGCACGTCTGCAGCGTCACCGGCTGCCCCCTCGGGAGGACCCAGCCCAGGTTGAGGCCAGGGGTTGGAGGCTGAGAGCCCAGGGTGGCAGAGTAGGCCCGTGGGGCCTGGCCAGGCACCCCTGACCACAACCCTTCTCTTGTCCACAGCCTTCCCAGGAACTGGAGAAGGTAGGGACCAGCCCAGTCCAGCCCCGAGCCTGCAAGGAGTGTCCCCTTTGGGCAATGTGGCAGGAGGGGTCCAGAGGCTGCCCGTGAGGTGGGGGGGTCCCCCAGGTCTGTGCCTGCCCACACTGGAGGCCAGCACAGGCATGAGGGAGAGGCAGGCCTGGGGTGCTGGATATTCCCAGGAGAGAGCCCCGGGCTTCACACCTGAGCCCCACCTGTTGCTGCCACAGGGCCTTGTGTGCGTCAGCTCCAAGCTTCGGCTGGCCGAGCGCAGGCAGCAGCGACTGCAGGAGGTCCAGGCCAAGCGTGACCACCTCTGCGAGGAGTTGGCCGAGACCCAGGGCCGGCTGATGGTGGAGCCCGGACGCTGGCTGGAGCAATGTGAGTGTCCCAGGCCCTCTGTCACCAAGCCCAGAGGACTTGCTCCCTGCCCTGGTTCCCTAATCTGCCATGTCCCATCCCTGCCACCTGTCTCTACCTTCCAGCTGCTCTCCTTTGAGAGGTGGTGGATAGGGAGGTCCCCTGGGGTGCTGGCTTTCCTGGGACTTCGGGGAGCCTGGTTGCCACCTGGCCCCTGTCCTGATCCAGTCCTGTCCCTCCCCAGTTGAGGTGGACCCAGAGCTGGAGCCTGAGTCAGCGGAATACCTGGCAGCTCTGGAGCGTGCCACAGCCGCACTGGAGCAGTGTGTCAACTTGTGCAAGGCTCACGTCATGATGGTGACCTGCTTTGACATCAGTGTCGGCACCACTGCCGCTGTGCCAGGGCCCCAGGAGGTGGACGTCTGAGGCCAGGCACTGGGCAGGGGAGGGGTAGGGATGTACAGGGCGCGTGAGATGGACGTGAGACGGAGTGAGAATGTGGTCAAGGAGTCAAGGGGCGAGGATGGGGTGCGGGGTCTGCAGGCCCAGGAGTCTCCGAGGAGGTGCAGTGGGGGTGGGAGCAGTGGCCAAGCGGGGAGCGAGCGAGGCAGGGAGAGTGGGGCGGTTGCCACGCAGATAGCCATGCAAGTGCCTTTAACCTTGAGTTGGACTCTTCTCCTTTTGCATTTGGTGCTATGGACTCTCGACACCAGCAGACGTGGGCTGGGGCCCGGCTGCCCGTGCCTGATCTCGCCTTGCTAGTGGGCGGTCCGAGTCAGGATTGGGTTTCTGTTGCTTTGCTGCGGCTTCCTCTTGGTAGAGCAGTGGCGGAGTCCTGGGAGTGGGACAGTGTCCTTCTCTGAGTACCCTGCTCTGCTCCAAGGATGCCGAGGGCCTCGGGGGAGGGCCAGGCCACGCACACACGATGCCTTCTTCCACGGCAGGAATTCTTACCAAAACCACAAGCAAAAAAATCCACCATGAAACCAACCTCCCCTGCCAGAGACAGGGGTTAGGGTTTTCTAAACGTTCTGTTAGGTTCCTATTTTTGTATCATTTTGCCTATGAACCTGGAGTTTGCAGCAGGAATTTGAAGACAAATGATCTATGTTTTTATGGTTTTCTACGGAGGTGTTCGGTACCGGGCTCTTCCTGAGGGTTCCCTGCTCGGGGAGGGTGTCCTTGGGAAGTGCGTGTCCCCACATGCAGACAAGGAGACCTGTGGCCTGTGTGATGTCCCCGAGCCACAGGCCTGCGTTTTCTGACTGTCGCGTTTTATAGGGTGTCTGGACCTTTGTACAAACGTGTAGATAACATCTTACTGCGGTTTTTATTTGTGAATAAAAAAGCGTTGATTGTTCTCACGCCTCCCGGGCTCACAGGGCTCAGGATGTGCCCACCCTCCCTCCAAGGGTCTTGGGGTAGGGGTGGGGGTACAGCAGGCTGGGCTGTATCTGAGGGACACACAGGTGGAGGGAGGGTTGTATGGGACTCAGCCTCTGCCGCTGCCTTGCAGGAGCCACTGTGTGGGGTAGGGGTCACTCTCAGAGTGTAAGAGGCAGCCAGGGTTCAAACCTAGTTTTCTCTCCCAGCCCTGTGCCCTCTCTTCTGAGTGCTGCTAGGATTTTGGGGCCCCAGACTAGGGCCTTCCTGCAGAGTGTGACATCTGGGGAGATGGAGGTGGGTGACGGTGACCCTCAGGAGGGCTGTGGTCTTCCCTTTGTTCCCTGCCCACCTCGCTGAGAGGCACTGCACCCTGGGTGCAGCAAGGCCCAGGCCTCAGAGTTAGCTGGAGCCTAGTGACAGGCACTTCTGGGGGCCCGGCCTGGACCCTCTTTTGACCTTGCTTCTTGTCCAGGCCCCTGTGTTGTGGGGGACCTGCCATGTTGCCCTCCTCACCCATCTCAGGTACTCAGTGTGTCTCACTAAGCCGGCCCCCCTCCAGGAGCCTGCCCTGGCCCTGGCCCCGGCAGCCTCTACAATGCAGCATTGTGCTGGCCCCAGTGCAGGGACCCTGCACCCCACCCTCTGAGAGATGAGTCAGCAGCCACCGTGCTCGGGACCCTGCGGGCCAGCTCAGCTGGGTGCTCTTCCCTGGCTGCAGGCATACGGTGGACCCCTCCAACACCTCTTGTGTGTGCTCTGTCTCCCTGCCTTAGCAGGGGTGCAGGGGTGGGTAGCTCTGAGTCACGATTGTCACACCCCAAGTGGCTCCTGGTGGCCCCCCAGGGACTATGTGGATGGAGAGGTGACTATTTCCTTCTAGGACCTGTCCTTGCTGACCCAGATGTGGGTCAGGACACAGGAATGCCCAGGCCATCGGCCTGGCCTCCAGCCTTGGGTGGTGTCACAGTCCAGCTGTGGTTGTGGGGTCCAATCCCCCACCCTGGGTCTCCTGAGATTTTGCTCCAGGAGATCACAGACTTCTGAGAGGGGCGAGGTTGTTCTCAGCCAGCAAAGAGCCACCCAGGCTGCTGTCTGACTGAGGGCTCTGCTGGGGGTAGCAGGGGGTGGCAGACCTTAGGGCCGACAGAGACTAAGAGGGTCTTGCAGATGGCATGGGGCAGACCCTTGCTGGCCAGGGGTGCTGCTCTTGGGACCCGAAGTGCTGGCCCAGGTGGGGCGTTGAAGGAACTGAGCAAGCCCCTGCTGTGGGCTTGGCCCTGCATCCGTGTCACCTGTGTGGTGTGGGGATGTCCCTTCGGTCCTCCCCCTGCCCAGGCCACCATCCCTCTGCTGTTGACCTCAGTGCCAACCTGGTGGGGCCATCATCCAGGCTGGCGGTGCTCAGCCATGGGGTCTGGCTGGGTGGATCCTGATTCCCACAGCCTAGGTTTCCTGAGAAGGGCGGTGCCTGCTCTTGTGGACCAGGAATCCTCTGTCCCAGGCCTGGCCTGGGAGCCTGGGGTGGCCTTTCATCTCAGACATCAAAGCCCTCAGCCCTGTCATTACAGCCTGGGAAACAATGTGAGCCCCAGAATGCCCATTTTATGGATGGGAAAGCTGGGGCCACCCAGGACCCAGCTCACTGACTGAAGCCAGAACCTGGGTAGTCCCTGTACTGCAGCCTCAGGAGTCTGTGTGCAACCTGCATGCCAAATGTTTGGGGAAACTGAGGCCTAGTCAGGGCAGGGGTGCTCAAGTCCCCATTCCTATCTGCTCAGCAGAGGTGTGGAGGCCGTGGGTGGGTGGGTGGGCTCCTGGGGATGGCAGAATTGGGCAGGCCTGGGGTAGGGTGAGGGTCTTGAGAGGAGGAGGATGGGAAGGCTGTGGGACACAAGTGGCTGGCGGTCGGCAGTCTCGGAGGCCACCTGGCACTGGGCCATCTGCTCCCCTGGGGCGAGGTGCCTGCCTGACTTACCACGTCAGCACATCCAGGCCTGCTCTGCTGCCCTGCCCGCTGTACCTGGGCCTTGGGGCCTCGCAGGGAGAAGGAGCAGGGGCTCCTGGAGCCCAGTGGGAGTGGGCGAGGTAGGGGTTGGTGGCCTGCTGCAGAGTAGCAGGTGCTGCCCACCACCCCGGCTGAGGAAGGGCATTTGGCCCTGAGCTCACCATCCCGGGAGGCACGTGGCTTCCTTTGCCAAGGACCAGCCTCCGAAGCAGGGAGCCAGAGCCTGTGGGGGCCCGTGGGGATTTCAGGTGCCAGGGGAGCAGCCAGTGCTCCAGGAGCAAGTGCTTGGGACTCAAGGTCCCGGCTGCAGCGGAGGCGGTAACTTAGAGGTGGCCGTGATAGTGGCCGTGGTGGCCTTGTGGCACTGGAAGTCTTGGGGCTGGTGGCAATGTACTGCTTTCCCAGGACAAGTCTCTTCCCTGCCTTCCTCTCTGGCACCTTCTCTGCCCGTGGCACCAAGAGCCAAAGGTCGCTGCCCTGATGCCTTGCTGGAGGTGGGGGTGTGAGTCTCAGGTCCTCTCTGCCAGGGTCGTGGTGTCAGTGTGGCTGCTGGGGCTGTCTCCCTGGCACCTCTCTGTCCTCAGCCTGGCTGCCTTGGGTGCATAGAGCTCTGGACTCCTGGAGTCACCTCACACTCCTGCCTGTGTCTCTGGAGGTCACCCTCCCTCCCTCCCTGCAGCGTACAAGGCGGGGTATGGACCCCACCGGCTGCTCCTCTCCTGTGACCCAGGCTGGATCGCTTCCAGTGAACAGGAAGCTTGAGAGAGAGGTCGCCCTCCTGACCTCGCACGGGATCCAGCCATTTCCACACAGGAAGCCAGGAGGCTGGGAGGCTGGCCGGTGTCCCCAGTAAATGAGGAGGGGCTTCCTGTGAGCAAGGCCGCCATGGGGTGCCTAAGAAGGCAGTGGGGGCCAGGAGAGACCCACTCAGAACCCCACCTTGGTCAGGGACACTGAGAGGTCTCCCTCAGGAGCACAGGCCCTGGGGTCTCTGTGGAGCGCAGGGAGGTTGGGCACAGGGCGAGCTAGGGATCTGTGGCTTGTGGCAGGAGCAGGGCAGGGACCCTGGTCCTTCCCAGTGTTATACAGCCCTTCCCAAGGGCCCCCTGTCCAGGCCTGGCTGTAGCCAGGAAGCTAGTGTAGAGGGTCCCCAAGGCCCTGTGCCCCCACCGTGTCACACCTTGGCACGTGCTGCACTGTGTATTTCAGAGTCATCTTTTTACAGTGGACTTTACGACAGGGGAGTGGCATGGTGAGCTGTTGCCTAGCATGTGTGAGGCATTGGGTTGCAAAACCAAATCCAAAGCAGAACAATGAAAGGGGAGCCTCAGTTTCCCCTGCAATCTGTTTGGCCCAGGACCCCACCCAGGAGGAAGAGGGAGCAGATCACATCCAGCAGTGCAGAGGGGGAGGATCGGCCAGCAAGGCTTGGAGGGCCTCTCCTGGGGAGGTTTGTCTCCTCTTGCTGACTTCTTCAATCTGTGCCCACCCCAGTAGATGGATGGAGGCAGGTTGGTATTGTACTGGGCTCTGTCCAGCTCCACCTGGTTTATAGCAGGTTCTCCCCTTCTGGACCCTAGTAACCTAGAAGTTTGTTTGCGTTGCAGGGTGAGCAGCACTGTCTGTCCCCATGTGGTCCTTAGCAGGTGAAGTCCTGGAGCCCTCAGGCCTGGCCATCCTTGTTGGGGGCTCCAGCCCTCTGGGGGGACAGTCCTAAAGGTCCTGAGGGCTGAGTTACCTCAGGGGCCTGAAGTCTCCCAACAGGGGGCACAGACCTTCTGTCCCTCTCATCTGGGCTTCAGGACAGGGGAGGGAGCTCCTTCCCTGGGACTGGGCACTGAGCCCAGGAAGCAGGGGCCACGTCCCACAGCCCCCTGGCCGACTCCAGGTCCCCTGTGCAGGGCCTCCTGGCAGGGCCTCCTGCAAAGATGGGTCTGGGCTGCCGGAGGCTGGGCCGGTCCCTTCCTGGCAGTGGGTGCGGTGATGCCTAGGCTGGTGAACTCTGTGGCCCGGGGCGCGGGCAGAGCAGTGGTAGAATAATTGCTGGTGTGGCTGTATCCCCACCCAGCCCTGGGGCTGGAGGTAGGAGCAGTGACACCCCTGAGCACAGAGGGTGGCACCGCATGAGGTCACCCCAGAGCCACCTTCACGCAGCTGTCACGGTCACCTTGCAGGGTGAGGTCAGACAGGACATGTGTCCTGGGTACCAGGCCTCTGGCCAGCAGCCAGCCCATCTGAACAACTGGCTGCCCCCAGAGTATGCTGCAGACTGGGCTGGCAGAGAACGTACAGCAGGAACCCCCCGGAGAAAGCCCACTGCCCACAGAGACCTCAGGGACCCTGCAAACTGGGTCGGCAGGACCCTGGATTCTAGGGGATGTTAGGGGTCAAGCTTGGGATGCCCACTGCCTGGCTGAGCCTCCTTGACCTGCGCCTCGATTTCCCTTCCTACGGAAGGAACAGCTGCCTGGCTGCGCCTGTGTCAGCTGTGGTCTGGAATAAATCACCCTCCCTCCAGCACCAGTAATGACTGCGATATTTCTCATAGCCTCAGTGACCAGTCTGGGGAGCCAGCCGCCTGGCAGGGGGCACGATCTAAATCCCAGGCTTGTGCTGATTTGTGGGCCTGGCAGTGCGGCTGGCTCCTGGCATTTTTACGAGCAGAGGAGCCTGGGCTGGGAGCAGCTGGCGTGATCTACGGTCTGGCTGCGCCCTCCTGCTGCCTCGGCTTCTGCCTGTGTGTCCTGGGTTGGGCTAGGACCCAGAGGTACCAGTCCTGTGCCGCTGCTCCAGGAACCGTGACCTTGGTTTGCAAGGAGGAATTTCCACAGGACAAGCTGCCCAGGGGGCCTGGCTCTGGGCTGGGCTGAGCTGAGGGGTGCAGGTCCTGCCTGCAGCACCTCTGACTTCCTGGCGTGCAGAGAGGTGACACCAGGTGCTGGCCTGGAGACTGTGGCAGGGAGGCTGAA